CCCTGCCTTCAGACCCTTGAGCTAGCACAGTTCTGTCTCTTGCTTTGCTCACATGACTTCTTGTGAGTACTTTCCCAATCTACTTCAGTCTGCCTCCTGGGCACAGCCAACTGCTGAGGTCGTCCTGATGATCCGAGAGGAGACTCGCCTTGGGGAACAGGTGTCCACCGTAAAAGGAGTCTCGGTTCTATCCCGTCAACTTTGCCTGCTTATCATTCCTTCTTGGATGGCTCCTTTGCACTTCAGATTTAACGCAAATGCCTGGTAAAATGGAGCTCTAGACTCTGCCTCAGTCTGGCCCACAGAGCTCTCCATCTCACTGAATGGAAGTCTGCCACCACCTAGTCATTTAGGCCTCAGCCTGGATGCTTGGCCACACTCAGGAGGGTCCTAGGGAGGCTCTGGGTCTCCTAGGATGAACAAGTCATTTTTTAAAATTGAATTTTAATTTTTACGAATTTTTGAGAGAGAGAAGGGGAGCAAATAGCTGCACTCCACTGGTTCACTCCGCACATGTCTGAAATGGCTACAGTAAGCCAAAGTCAGAGCCAGGAGCTGGGAAGTAAGTGTGAGGCTCCCAAGCTGGGTGACAGGAACCTCATTACTTATCACCCACCACAGCCTCCCAGGGGTCTGCGTTAGCAGGAGAGCTGGCAGTGGGAGCAGAGCTGGATGTCTAACCTGAGTACTGCAGTGTGGAGTGCAAGCTTCCTAAACCAGTGCCTGAATCGCTAGGCCGAACAACACCTGTTTCAGGACGAACAAATCATTCTTATTTCTCCTCCCTCGTGCCTCAGTCGAATCCACCAGCAAGCAAGATCTGTCTCCTAGGTCGATCTGTTTTGTCTCCTTTTCTCCGATTCCGGACAGATCAGCTCGCTGCCATCTCTCTTGTTTGCCTGGTATCGACTCCATTCCGTTTCCTTACAGGAGACTGAACAACCTTTTAAAAATGCAAATCCAAAATGAAGATATTCTACCCAAAAACAGTTCTCATTTTCCCGCTGAGGGCCTCGCATGATCCAGCCCCAGTGGCCTCGCCAGGTGTCCAAACAGACTGCCCTGTCCACTGAAACACTTTCCTCCTGGCCTTTCAGGCTGCCTGCCTTAGTGTCACCTCCCCGACCATTGTCCTTCCCGGTCTCTAGTTACTGTGTCTTGTTGCATTTTTACTGTGGCAGAATGCATGTAACAACATCTTTAACCATGTTTTATACAGTTGTGTGGCAAGGAGTGCATTCCCATTTGCATTGTTCTGCAAGCCCAGCTTACTCTCTGTTGTAACATCTTGCTGCTGGGCCACAGGGCACCACCTGTGATCATTTTGTTTCTTTTTCTTTCCTATTGGAGGTAAGCGCCATGAGCAGGGACGGGGTAGTCTTCTTTTTTTTTTTTTTTTTTTTTTTTTGACAGAGTGGACAGTGAGAGAGACAGAGACAGAGAGAAAGGTCTTCCTTTTGCTGTTGGTTCACCCTCCAATGGCCGCCGCAACCGGCGCACCACGCTGATTCGAAGCCAGGAGCCAGGTGCTTCTCCTGGTCTCCCATGCGGGTGCAGGGCCCAAGTACTTGGGCCATCCTCCACTGCCTTCCCGGGGCCCTCTTCCTGGACTGGAAGAGGAGCAACCGGGACAGAATCCGGTGAGGGGTAGTCTTCTTTTCCTGTCTCCACCTTTGGCCCAGAGTCCCGCAGTGGTAACGTGCACTCAGTGAATATTCATGGGACGAATGAGTACATGCTGCCCCACGTTGGTATGTACTGTGCGCTTGGCACTGCACAGCTCCTTGCGAACGTTTCATTCAGCCTTAATGACAACCCCGACAACCAGTCGTTGCATCTCCGTTTACCGAGGAGATACGCACTGCCCCGAGGTTAGCCACTGCCAGCCATGGTCACAAGAGCAGGAGCGAGCAAGTCACAGCCCTGGGAGATGAGTCTGCTTCCCTCCAGGCCCAGAGAGCATGCATTTTTAGTGTGGGAAGAGGAATCCTAAAGAGGTTGGAGAGGAGGAGCCCCGCTCCGAGAGCCATGCCAGTTGATAGAGTGCAGAACTGCCACCTCCTCAAAGTCGCAGCTGCCCCAGGCACAGCCTGCACAGGCCTGGCAGCATTCTGGGCTCTTGGCAACTTGTGCCCCAGGATAAGCAGCAGAAAAGTGCTCTTGTTCAGACAGCGTGGAGGGGACAGCTAGACAGACTGAGGCTCTGGAAGGAAGGGATGGGGGGTGGGGTGCTGGTTAGGCTCACAGCTGGGACTGGTGGAGTTCTTCCATTTGTAGGCTTGGGCAGAGTCTCCATCCTCCGTCTATAAAATAGGTTAGCTTAGATCGCTGGTTCCCAAGCAGGGCCAGGCCCAAGTAGTACCTGGGCAGGCCCTAGATGCTAAGATGACATCAGTAGTAAAGTACTACAATATTCACTCATTTAATCCTCCACATCACTTAAAAATTATAGGTGCCAGTGTTATCCCCATTTTACTGGGGAGGAAAGTGAATAATGGAAAGAATAGATAGCTGTGCCAGATCAAACAGCAAGGAAGGGGCGGAGTCCAGATTCTGGCTCCAGAGGCCCCTTTCTTAGCACACATGCTGAGTGCCTCTTGAGCCCTGCCCCAGCCACCCAGGAGGTTCACAGTCCAGAGTTCAGGAGCCCAGGGCTTGGACAACTGAAGACTAGGACTCAGCAAAGATTGCCTTCCAGAATGCCATGTGTGGAGGTAAAACACTCTGTCCAGCTGGGGCTGGATTGGAATTGAGAGAGCTGTTCCCACAGCCTGGAGAAGACGCTAAGTCCCTGGGAAGGTGGGCAGCAGCTACAGGAGGGGAAGGCAGGTCTTGCGGCTTTCAGCTGCCCCAGATCTTCCTGGGTCCAACCTACCTTCCCACCCATGAGTGATTCCCTTTCCCCACTTTCTCACACCAACTGTTTTTATAGCAGTGTGGGTGTATATATAGTAAAAAGAAAAAAAAAAAGTTTATTTATTTGAAAGGCAGAATGGCCCAGAGAGGGGAGGAGAGAGAGGATCTTCCATCAGCGGGTTCACTTAAATGTCCACTGAAACCAGGAGCCAGGAACTCCACTGGGGTCTCCCACATAGGTGGCAGGAACTCAAGTACTTGGGCCATCATTGGCTACCTCCCAGCCACATGAGTAAAAAGCTGGATCAGAAATGAAGAGTTGGGGCTGATACTGTGTCTCAGCAAGTTAAACTTCCCCTTTCGGTGCCAGCATTTGAGCATTGGTTTGAGTCTCAGCTGCTCCACTTCCAATCCAGCTCCCTGCTACTGTGTCTGGGAAAAGCAGCGGAGGATGGCCCACGTGCTTGAGCCCCTGCCACCCATGTGGGAGACCCAGTTTGAATTTCAGACTCCTGGCTTTGGCCTGGCCCAGCCCTGGCCATTGTGGCCATTTGGGAGGAGAACCAACAGATGAAAGGTCTCCGTCTCTCCTTCTGTCAATCTACCTTACAAATAAATACATAAAAAGGATAAGGGGATGGCACTGTGGCACAGCAAGTTAAGCTGCTGCTTGCAACGACACCAGCATCCCATATCAGAGTGCCAGTTTGAGTCCTAGCTGCTCTACTTCTGATCCAGCGCCCTCTTTAAGCACCTGAGAAAGCAACACAAGATGGCCCAAGTATTTAAGCCCCTGCCACCCACTTGGGAGACCAGGAGGGCATTCCAGGCTCCTGGTTTCAGCCTGGACCAGCCCCAACTATTGCAGCCACTGGAGGAGTTAACCAGTGAGTGGAGGACCAATCTCGCCTTCTCCCTTCCTCCCCTCCCATCACTCTGCCTTTTGAATAACATAAATCTTTAAAAAAGAAGAGATGGGGCCAGTGTTGTCTAGCAGCTAAAACCACTGCCTGTAATGCCAGCACTGGACACTGGTTCATGTCCTGACTGCTCCACTTCCAATCCAGCTCCCTGCTAATGGCCTGGGAAAGCTGCAGAAGAAGGCCCAAGTATTTGGGCCCCAGCTACCCACATGGGAGACCCAGATGAAGCTCTTGGCTCCTTGTAGCCATCTAGGGAGTGAACCAGCAGCTAGATGTAAGCTCTCTGTCTCTCTGTCTCTCTGACTGAGATTGGAACTGACGCGCTGATGTGCAATGTAGGCATCCCCAGCAACAGCTTAACCTGCTGCACCACAGTGCCTACCCCTATATTTGGTTAGTTTGCTTGGTTTAAGATTGATTGATTTATTTTGAAAGGCAGAGAGACAGCTCTGTCTGTTGGTTCTCCCCACATGGCTGCAACAGTGGGGCTGGGCTAGGCCAAAACTGGGATTCCAGAGCTCTAACCTGGCACTCCCACATAGGTGACAGGGGCCCAAGTACTTGGGCCATCATCTGCTGCTTACCAGGTACATCAGCAAGGAGCTGGACCAAAACCAGAGCAGCCAGGACTCCAACCAATATGGGCTGCTGGCATCCCAAGGGGAGGCTTAACCTGCTGTTCCACAGTGCCCACCCCAGCGTAATTGTTATCTCTTGTTGAACCATTAAGGAAAACCAGGTTCCTCCCAGCAGTGGCATTTGTGGACCAAAGAGCACAGATGGTCTAATTTGGCTTCATTTAATAAAAATAGCTGTTTTTTCTTTTAGTCTGATTATAACGATTCATCACCAAAAGCTAACTAGTGGGTTATCTCATTTATGGGAGAAATTATGAGGAGGGTTCACTTAATATTTTATTTTTCATTATGAAAATTTTTTACAACACAAAGAAAAAAAGTAAAAATTGGCCATAATCCTCATCTTCCATTGTCAATGCTGGATATGTTTTCTTTCGCACTTTTTTGTATCCACACATATTTTAATGAATGTGTGCATTTTTATGTGTGTGTATGCATTTTTAGGCTGTGGTTCTGTGTGTTCTTGGGAGAAACTTTGAGAAGCAGAATCCCCACACTTTGGGGAGGTTTTGGTAAATACTGCCTAACCAGTATGGGAAGTGTTTGCCATTTCTGACATGGAGTATTTGGCTGGGATTTTCAGGACAGGAAGATGCCGCCCAAGCGCATAGCTAAAAGGAGGTCGCCCCCAGAAGATGCCATCCCCAAAAGCAAGAAGGTGAAGGGTAAGTTGGCCTTGGCCTCTTTCCAGCTCTGGGTGGCCTCTTGGAGTCATGAGGGTCTAGGACTGGACTCCTTCCTCCCTGACTCCTGTAGCCAAGGGGCTTGGGTGTCCAGGGACCCCACTGAGCTGGAGGGCCTCCCGTAGTTCTTGGAATCCCACCTCAAGGAGATCTTATGTAAAAGAGCCAGACACTTGACTAGAAGCACTGGGGCAGGGCTGGCACAGGCAGTGAGGTGTTATGGTTAGGACCATTGACTTTGAGACGTGGTTCAAGTCCTGGCTTTGCCACTTTCTAGCTGTGCCACTGTGGAAAAGTCACTTAGCTTCATTGAGTGTGGTTTACCTGCTTTCTGAAACGGAGGCTGAACAGCACCAACCTCCCTGGGCTGTTCTGAGGACGAAGCACCATAATGCCCTGGCAGCGTGTGAGGGAGGCGTCAGTGATTTCCTGTCTCCTGGGATCCTCAGCAGGACGGGGAGGAGAGAAAGCCACCCCCGGTCTGGGAGGGAGGAGTGTGGGCCCACGCTCAGACTGCTCAGACCATGTCTGTCTTTTGCAGACGTCCATAACCAGGCGGTGAGAGCTGCTCCCTCCCGCCACCTTCCCGGCGCCCACTCCTGCCGAGGTGCCTGCGGCCCCAGCCCTCCTGACCAGAAAATCCGACCAGGTGGCTTCCCGCCCAGTGTACCTCCACGTACACGTGCTGTGGCCACGCCCCCGGAGGAGGGGCCGGGCGCCATTGGCTGCCCGGGGCTGCGGGCGGCTTCCATTGGCCAGCAGAGGGCCCTGTGCTGCCCACTGGTTGGCACATTCCATCTCTCTTGCCCCCAGCCCTGCCGCCAGTTTTCTTTGTAAATGTGTCCGGGAATTGGAAGGCAGAGCCGGGGAGAGAGGAGGGCCGGGATGGAGGCTGGGGTCTGTGGTCTGAGCCGCAGTCTCCTTGGTTTTCAGTTCAGACCCTGTCAGTTAGCTTTATGACCCCGGGAAGCTGGCTGTCCCTCTTCGAAGCCCTATTCCCTTTCCTACAGAACAAGACCTTACACATGGAGCCTGCGGAGTAATTCCAGGGACTGCCAAGCAACTTAGCATTGGTAGAGTAAGCGGTCACTGGAGGGTAGACTTGGCACCGTGGCTTCTGACCAATACCGCTGATCGGGGAAGTGTTGGGCTGGCCTCTTCCCCTCCCCACCCACCGCTCCCAGGATTGTCACCTGGTTGGCGCCTCCTCTCTCCCTCCCTTCCTCCCACACATTAATAATGCCCTCAATTTCCTATGGGTTTTTTAAGATTTTATTTTATTTGAATGGCAGAGAGCAACAGAGAAGGAGGAAGAAACAGAGAAAAAGAGATCTCCCATCCTCTGGTTCACTCCCCAAGTGGCCCCAGTGGCCGGGGGCTGGGCCAAGCTAAAGCCAGGAACTCTGACTGGGTCTCCCACGTGGGTGGCAGTGGCCCAAATGACTTGGCCCATCTTCCACTGCCTTCCCAGGTACATTAGCAGGAAGCTGGATCGGAAGCAGAACAGCTGGGACTTGAACCAGCACTTTGATATGGGAGCTGGAGATGGTGGTGGCTTAACCCACTCTGCCACAACCCAGGCCTCTCTTGCGGTTTTGTTCTTTGTTTTACTTCTACTTATTTGAGAGACAGAGGGAGACAGGCAGAGAACCTCCATCCACTAGTTTACTCCTAAAATAACAACAACTGCAGCTAGGCCAAGGTAACGTCAGGAACCAAAAACTCAACCCAGATCTCCCATGTGGGTGGCAGGGACCCAGGTACTTGAGCCATCACCTGCTGCTTTGCAGGGTGCAGAGCCAGGCCTCTAACGCAGGCACAACAATATGAGATGCAGGTGTCCTGAGCAGCATCTTCACTCTTAGGGGAACCCCTTCTCCTTGCTCAGTTGTTGCTGTTCTTGTTGTTAAAGATTTTATTTTATTTGAAAGAGGGACAGAGAGAAAGAGATCTTCAGGGGACAGCACGGTGGAATAATGGGCTAAGTCTCCTTATGTGGCAATAGCATCCCATATGGACATCAGTTCTATTCCCAGCTGCTCCTCTTCAATCCGGCTCCCTCCCTACTAATGTGCCTGGGAAAGCAGTGGAAGATGGCCCAACTGCTTGGGCCCCTGCACCCCTGTGGGAGACACAGAAGAAGCTCCTAGCTTCTGGCTTCAGATTAGCCCAGCTCCGACTGTTGTGGCCATTTGGGGAATGAAACAGCGGATGGAAGACCTTTCTCTCTGTCTCTCACACTCTGTCTGTAACTCAGCCTCTCGAATAAATAAATAAAATCTTAAAAAAAAAAAAAAAATAAGAGAGAGAGACAGAGATCTTCATCCACTGGTTCACTCCCCAAGTGGCCACAACAGGCAGAGCTAGACCAGGCCAAAGCCAAGAGTCAGAAACTCTGTCCAGGGCACTTACATGGGTGTCAGGAACCCAAGTACTTGGGCCATCATCCACTGTCTCCTGGGCACACCAGCAGAAGCTGGGTGGGAAGTGCAGAGGAGCCAGGATTCAAATCAGGCACTCCCAACATGGGGTTGGGGTGTCCCCAGCATCATCAGCCCAACCTGCTGCATACAGCACAATGCCTGCCTCCTACCAACTTGTTTTATTTAATTTATTTTATTTTTATTTTTATTTTTATTTTTATTTTTATTTTTATTTGAAAGGCAGAGTTAGAGAGATCTTACATCTCCTGGTTCATTCCCCAAATGGCCACAATGGCCATGACTGGGCCATGCCAAAGTCAGGAACCAGGAGTTTCAGCCAGGTCTCCCACACCGTTGCAGGGGCCTTGGACTTGGGCCATCTTCTGCTGCTTTCCCAGGTCCACTAGTAGGAAGCTGGAGCAGAGTGGAATAGATGGGACTCCAGCCAGTGCCCATATTGGCATACTAGTGGCACAGGCAGCAGCTTAACCTGCTATATCACAACACTGGCCCCTTGTTCAGTTTTGTTTTGTTTTAAGCTTTATTTTTTTGACAGTCAGAGTTGCAGAGAGAAAGGGGGACAGAGAGATTGTCCATCTGCTGGTTCACTCCCCAGATTACCACAACAGCCATGGCTGGACTAGGCCGAAGTTAGAACCCGGAGCTTCATCCGGGTTTCCCACATGTGTGGCGGGGGCCCAAACACTGGGACCATCTTCCACTGCTTTTCCTAGGCCATTAGCAGGGAGAAGGATTGGAAGTGGAGCAGCCAGGACTCGAACCAGCTCCCATATGGGATGCCAGCATCACAGGCAGTAGCTTTACCTACTACACCACGGTCTGCCCCTCCTTGTTCAGTTTTTAATCTTCACAAAAACCCTACAAGACGGTACTGTGTTAACCCTTCCACAGACGGGGGCATGTAGACTCGGGACAGTCACGCTGACGGTCTGTGGCAGAGCAGAGGCTTGAGCCCAGGTCTGCATGGTATCAGAGCCCGTGAGGCAACCTCTCCTGCCTGCTGTCATCCTACACACTGAGGACCTGTCTTCTTCACCCCTCAGTCTCACACAGGTCCCACAGCACAGAACCAGGCTTGGTGCTGACACTGGGCCAAGGCGACGTGGGCCAGCTGGGGCTGGGTGAGAATGTGATGGAAAGAAAGAAGCCAGCCCTGGTGCCCATTCCAGAGGAAGTTGTGCAGGCCGAGGCCGGTGGCATGCATACTGTGTGTCTAAGCAAGAGTGGCCAGGTAGGTGTGGGGCTGGCCAGGTAGGTGGGGCAGAGCCTGAGGCTTGCGGGCGTGGGGCAGGACCTTTGAGCCACACGTTTCCCTGTGGAAGTGGAGCTGGGGAGCCAAGCAAGGAGGGCAGTAGACTGCGAGGCCAGACCTTGCAGTAACGGGGACGTGCTGGGCACAGGTCTACTCCTTCGGCTGCAACGACGAGGGTGCCCTGGGAAGGGACACGTCAGCGGAGGGGTCAGAGATGGTCCCCGGGAAGGTGGAACTGCAAGAGAAGGTGGTACAGGTGTCAGCAGGAGACAGTCACACAGCAGCCCTCACCGAGGATGGCCGTGTCTTCCTGTGGGGCTCTTTCCGGGTAAGGCTGGCTGTGCCAGATTGCACGGGGCCCGGCTGGCAGAGGCAGGCATGACTGGCCGCTAAGTGCTGTGTCCTTCCCGCCAGGACAACAACGGTATGATTGGGCTGCTGGAGCCCATGAAGAAGAGCTTGGTGCCCGTGCAGGTGCAGCTGGACGTGCCCGTGGTGAAGGTGGCCTCAGGTGAGCTTGGGGTAGGCCCCTCACTCGGCAGGAGTGAAAGAACCTTGTCTGGGCCTGGCTCAGCCTTGGACCTGACAAGCGAGCCCTGCATCCCCTGCCTTCCTCTCGGCCTTAGGAAATGACCACTTGGTGATGCTGACAACTGACGGCGACCTCTATACCTTGGGCTGCGGGGAGCAAGGCCAGCTGGGTCGTGTACCTGAGTTATTTGCCAACCGTGGTGGCCGGCAGGGCCTGGGTAAGTGTCTTAAAGGTAACAGGGCAATTTGGCAAGCCAGGGAAGGCCAAAGGCAGAAGGGGTACTGTGTTCAGCTTATGTCAGACAGACTCGCGGTGTTGCCCTGGTCTTGCCACCCACTGGCTGTGTGACCCTGAATGTAGTTTCCTTATCTCTAAACGTACCTACGTCTCAGCTGACGTCACTGGGTTGTTGTGCAGGTAAATGAGTTAACTGGAAGAATGTCTGGCGTATGGTAAGTTCCATGTAAGTGTTACCTCTGATGACTGTGGGAATTGGAGCAAGGCACTGGCGCGCTCTCAGCCTTTTTCCTCTCCTGTAAAATACGGGTAAGAGCTCCTAGTTAGCGTCTCTCCAAGGGCTTTTGTCATTTAGGGAAAACAGGTTCACAGAGAGGCCCCATGTCTGTCACTGACTCTGGCTTCCTGTCTGCCTGCAGAGCGACTCCTGGTCCCCAGGTGTGTGCTGCTGAAGTCCAGGGGCAGCCGGGGCCACGTGAGATTCCAGGATGCCTTCTGTGGTGCCTATTTCACTTTTGCCATCTCTCGAGAGGGCCATGTGTATGGCTTCGGCCTCTCCAACTACCATCAGCTTGGTGAGTCCCAAGCCTGGCCTCAGGGATGACCCCAGTGACCAGGGCCCCAATCCTGACTCCACTGCTCATTAACTGTGCACTCATGGGGTTCCCTGACCTCTCAGAGCCACAGCTCTGTCACCTGTGGAGTGAGAATGTCCAGTCCTACGGGTGGAGGGCCTCGCTGTGGGAGGGGTTGGGGAGGACAGCTTCACCCCGACAGTTCTCTGGGCCTTTCCCCAGGAACCCCAGGCACGGAGTCCTGCTTCGTACCCCAGAACCTGACATCGTTCAAGAACTCCACCAAGTCCTGGGTGGGCTTCTCTGGCGGCCAGCACCATACAGTCTGCATGGATTCAGAGGGTAGGCCCCCAGAGCCCTCTAGGTTGGAGGTGCATGTTTCCTGGGCTCCGGTCTCGCCACACTCCTGTGGTCCTTGGAATCTGGGTCTGTTCCATGGGTTGAGCCACACGTGGGTCTGTGAAGCCACCCCCTACCCCCAGCGTCCTGGTGTCCTAGGTGTGAGTGCTATGGGGGCCCCATGTGGAGGTTCCCCCAGGCCCCCTCCCAAACAAGGAAGAGATTGCAGACATCTTGACCACCTGGGGGCAGGGAGAGGCTCCCATGGTCACAGGCGCTCACGTGGCCCACTGCCAGTTTTGCCTGGAGCATGCCCTTTGCCACTGCTCATTTGTCTCCCTCCTCCCCTAGGAAAAGCATACAGCCTGGGCCGGGCTGAGTACGGGCGGCTGGGCCTTGGGGAAGGTGCCGAAGAGAAGAGCATACCCACCCTCATCTCCAAGCTGCCTGCTGTCACCTCCGTGGCGTGTGGGGCCTCTGTGGGGTATGCCGTGACGAAGGACGGTGAGTGGGGCTGCCCACACTCGGGCTTGTGGGGGCCCGAGCATGGTGATTTTAAGTGCACTTCCCAGCGGGCTGGGCTGTCCATCCTCAGGTGGAGCAGGGGGCGGAGAGCAGGGCTGGCAACAGCACTGCTTGGCTGCTAGTTCTCGGGTGTTGTGGCTTTGATGAATGTAAAGTGAGTAAAGGAATCATTGTAGTACAGGTGATTTGTCCCTCAGAGGGGGAAAAACAGCAAAGGCGGAGATATCTCTGAAGGCCAGAGAGGCGAGGGGCGCCTAGAGCCAGGCTGCAGACTCCTAACCCAGGCCCTGTGTTACTCTACATGCTGGTGACCCCTCATGGACCGCCTAGATTGTGCCAGCTTCCCAGAGACTCGTACTCGGTGTCTTAGGAAAAAGGAGGCTTAGTAGTCAAAGGGGCTGGCAGGCCCAGCAGCAGAGATGGTGCAAGTGACCCCACAGCCTGAGAGGAAGAAGACCTTGAGGAGGAGGGGCTTGCACTGCTCCTCGACCAGACCAGTCCTTTAGGGAGCAAAGGGTGGCGCAAAACCCCAGAGGGCAGCTGGGGCTGCGGGGCTGTGAGTGCCACGCCTGGGGAGTGCCTAGCAGGGAGAGGCCTTGGGCACTATAGACGGATGGTGGTCTGTGGTTTACTAGATTATTTTGGTCTGTCTCCTGGGCTCCTCCCAGTCCCCCTGGACTCCTCGAGGCTGTGACCTTGCCCCACCGCGATGGTCATGGCCAGGTTTTACCTGATCTGAGGCTTCTCAGGCTATGGAAAGCTGGGGCCAGGGATCCTGGAGACAGCTGCCTGCCTTTCTTTCCCTTGCAGGTCGTGCCTTTGCCTGGGGCATGGGCACCAGCTACCAGCTGGGCACAGGGCAAGATGAGGACGCCTGGAGCCCCGTGGAGATGACGGGAAAGCAACTGGAGAACCGTGTGGTCTTGTCTGTGTCCAGCGGGGGCCAGCACACAGTCTTGTTAGTCAAGGACAAGGAGCAGAGCTGATGAAGCCTCTGTGGGCCTGGCCTGGCCCCTCGCCCACCCTCGTGCAACAGGGAAGCAGTGACAACCACAGATTCCAGCAGGCCTCTCCCCAACCCTGAGCACTCTGTTATCTCCTGCCTTTTTCCCATCATCAGCAGAACAGAATTCTTTTCCTCTTTTTCTTCCTCCTTTCTGGAATCATCCTGGGACCTGCAGGATGAAGGGGAGGATGGATGGTGGAGTTCTGGACAGAAGGAACATTGCTCACCCCAGAGCTGTGTGGTCACACTTTGCCCCTACTTCCCTACCTCCCATGGTCCTGGCTGGCTCTGGCTTTGCCTAACAAAAAAACCAAAACTCCCTCCCTTGGGCGTTTGGAGCCATCCTCCAGTCATGTGCCGCTCTTCCTAAGCCCAGTAGTCCACAGGCAGACAAATGGTTCAGTTACCCGACCCAGCTGTCATGGCCCGTGCCTCAGGGAATCCAGAGAAGGGACAGGCTGCACAGCTGTGGGCAGCCCCAAGCCAAATACTTGGCTCTAAACAGGTGTCCATGGGACAGAAAGGATGACAGTTCTCCACTTGACCAAGAAACAAGCCGACTAGGGGTTCTCCCAGAAGCACAAAGCCTACCCTGGCCCCTCAGGCACTGCCTGGGTATCCCACCCATCCACTGGGCCTCATCTGCAGCCAAGGACCGAATCCCAGAAGAGAAGGCGGGCAGGGGGTGGGGGAAGAGGGTAGCGGGTATGGAGGATTTTATGAACAAACAGCAATAATACTGAGCAGGGAGGGAGGCAGAGAGGGTCGGAGAGGGGCAGAGGCTGGTCCCCAAGAAGAATGAGCAGCAACTTGTACAGCGGCTGAGAAAAGAGTTTTGATTTTTTTAAATTATAAAATATTTTGGAGGGGAGAGTGAAATCTTTTAACACTTTGAATAAATTTAGAGTTTTGTAAGACTGGCCGCTTGTTTTCTACATACTCTCTGCCTTGCCAGGGGAGCGCCAGGCTTGTGGACCTGGTGTCAGGGCCACAACCCAAGTGATGTCCCTGTTGCCTGCCAGCCAGCCAGTGTCTGTAATCCAAAAGGGAGGAAAGAGTTGAGTTGTGCTCGGAATCTGTGGATTTTTTAATAATGATTCTGCACAGCGCAAGAGAAGTGGGAAGGAAACGTTAATATCCTAACGCCAAGCCAAGATTTTTGAGTACAGTACAGGCGAGGAAGGCCTGCTGAGCTGCTTGTGGTGTTCTTGAAGAGCTGGTGTGTTTGTTTAAACATGATCATCTGCACAGTAACAACTTTGGGATGTTAATGTAGTTTCACATTTGAACAACCAAATCACTCACACAGCTGACCTGTCCGGTACAGCCATCACTAGCTACGTGTGGCTCTTTACTTTTTTTTTTTTTTTTTTTTTTGACAGGCAGAGTGGACAGTGAGAGAGAGAGACAGAGAGAGAAAGGTCTTCCTTTGCCGTTGGTTCACCCTCCAATGGCCGCCGCTGCAGCCGGCGCACCGCGCTGATCCTGGCAGGAGCCAGGAGCCAGGTGCTTTTCCTGGTCTCCCATGGGGTGCAGGGCCCAAGCACCTGGGCCATCCTCCACTGCACTCCCTGGCCATAGCAGAGAGCTGGCCTGGAAGAGGGGCAACCGGGACAGAATCCGGCGCCCCAACCGGGACTAGAACCCGGTGTGCCGGCGCCGCAAGGTGGAGGATTAGCCTATTGAGCCACGGCGCCGGCTTCCACCAGCTATTTTTGCACAGAAATAAATTTTTACTTATTTTTTCTTAAGATATATTTGTTTATTTGGAAGGCAGAGTTACAGAGAGGCAGAGGAAGAGCTTCCATCTGCTGATTCATTCCATAAATGGTCACAACAGCTGGAGCTGTGCTGATCAGGAGCCAGGAGATTCTTCCAGGTCTCCCACGTGGGTGCAGGGGCCCTAGGACTGGGCCATCTGCTACTGCTTTCCCAGGCCATAGCAAAGAGCTGGATCGGAAGTGGAGTAGCCGGGACTTCAGCTAGTGCCTATGGGGGATGCCAGCATTGCAGGCAGTGGCTTAACCTGTTAGACCACAATGCTGGCCCCATTCCATATCCTTTTTTCTTTTTTTTTTTTTAACTTATTTTTTTACTTATTTTTCTTTAAAGCTTTATTTATTTATTTGAAAGTTAGAGTTACACAGAGAAAGAAGGAGAGGGAGAGAGGTCTTCCATCCTCTGGTTCACTCCCCTATTGGCTGCAACGGCTGGAGCTGTGCTGATTCGAAGCCAGGAGCTTCTTCCAGGTCTCCCATGCAAGTGCAGGGGCCCAAGGACTTGGGCCATCTTCTGCTTTCCCAAGCCATAGAAGAGAACTGGATCGGAAGTGGAGCAGCCAGGACTTGAACCGGTGCCCATAAGGGATGTTGGCTTTACCTGCTACACTACAGCGCTGACCCCCAAATAAATATCTTTGAAAAAAAAGCTCAAACCCAGATGCTGCTATATGGTGCACCAACCCAAGAACCCCATTCTCAGGAACAACTGCTGTGTATTGAGACCTGGTTATTTTTAAAGATTTGTTTATTTGAAGGGTAGAGTTACAGAGATGAACAGATCTTTCCATCCGCTAGTTTGCTCCCCAAATCACTGCAATCGCTGGGGCTGGGGGTGAAGTCAGGAACCTGGAACTCCATCCAGTCCTGCCATGTGAATGCAGGGGCCAAAGGACTTGGGCCATCTTCCACTGATTTCCCAGACACATTATTCGGGAGCTGAATTGGAAGTGGAGCAGCCCATATGGGATGCCAGTGTTGCAGGTGGTGGCTTAACTTCCTTTTTTTTTTTTTTCCTTTCTAAAGATATATTTATTTGAAAGAGTTACAGAGACAGGTAGAGAGGTTCACTCCCCAAGATGTCCCAGGCCATAGCAGAGAGGTGGTTCAGAAGAGGAGCAGCCGGGACTAGAATCGGGGTCCATATGAGATGCCGGCGCTTCAGGTCAGAGCTTTAACCTGCTGCGCCACAGCGTCGATGCACTTTTTTTCTTTTCTTTTTTTTTTTTTTTATTTGACAGATTTATAGACAGAGAAAGGTTTTACCTCCGTTGGTTCACCCCCCAAATGGCCACCACGGCTGGCACTGCGCTGATCCGAAGCCAGGAGCTAGGTGCCTCTTCCTGGTCTCCCATGCGGGTGCAGGGCCCAAGCACTTGGGCCATCCTCCACTGCACTCCCGGGCCACAGCAGAGAGCTGGACTGGAAGAGGAGCAACCAGGGCTAGAACCCGGCACCCATATGGGATACTGGCGCCGCAGGCGGAGGATTAACCTATTGAGCCAAGGCGTCGGCCCCCTTTCTTTTCTTTTTACAAAGAGGCAGAGAAAGTCTTCTATCTGCTGGTTCACTCCCCAAATGGCCTCAATAGCCTGAGCTGGGCCAACCTGAAGCCAGTAGCTTCTTCCAGGTTTCCCACGTGGGTGCAGGGGCCCCAGGACTTGGGCCATCTTATTTTGCTTTCCCAGGCCATAGCAGAGAGCTTGGTCGGTAGTAACACAGCTGGGACTCGAACCTGTGGGCATGTGGGATGCCGGCACTGCAGACAACAGCTTTACCCAATATGCCGCAGCACTGGCCCTGACTTAACTTTCACAACACCAGCCCCTGTGTATTGAGACTTAAAATGATCCAAAACATCATGCAAATGGCCTGTTAATGCTTACATCAGCCCTGCAAAGGAGGAATTGCTATCCCTAGGAAGCAGGCCCTGGGAGTTGACATGACTTGCTTGAGGTCAAGAGACATGAGTACACATTAGGCTGGACTTGAAATCAGCCACCACCTGAGCCTGGAACCTCACTTTCTTTTCCTCATATTGGATCGAAGAGCTGCAAAGCCCTGTCTCAGTGCTGTCTGTGTATTAGAACACTGCCAGGCACAAGGTAGATGCTTTACAAATACCTGCCCTTATGAGTGTTGTGCATTTTTTGTTCCCTGTAAGTATCTTGCCTTGCTTTTTCATTTACATAGTTTTGTCCCTGTAACAGTAATTCAGTGCCAACATATCAAAAGTACAAATCTCTTGTGTGCTCCAACATCAAGAACTTTCAACTTCATCTTTTCTCCATTCTCCATCTTGGGTTGGTTATCCCCAAACATGATCATAGCATAATATAATGACTCAGCTACAAAGACACAGACGACCTCAAAGAATTTTTGAGGAAATGGAGTTAAAAGTTAGGGGCCAAAAAAAAAAAAAAAAAAAAAATAGGGGCTGATGTTGTGGCATGGCGTGTAAAGCTTGCCTTCCTGAGACGCTGGCATCCTGTGTGGATGCAGGTTCAAGTCCCAGCTGCTCCACTTTCAAGCCAGCTCCCTACAAGAGTCCTGGGAAAGCAGCAGTGCTTGGGCCCCTGTACCCACATAGGAAACTGGGATGAAGTTCCTGGCTTTGGCCAGGTCCAGCCCCGGCCATTGTGGCCATTTAATTGAGGAGTTAACCAGCAGATGGACAATCTCTCCCTCTATCTCTGCCTTTCAAATAAAAATCTTAAAAAGATAATGCCAATTTTCTATGAGTTTTTGAAGACTCCTAGGTATGTAAATAGTCAATAGTGCTCTGTCAGAGAGAAGTGTGGATTTATGCAGTTGCTAGAATATGTGAAACTACAAAGGAAGAGAATGTAGAAATGCATGGGGTGGGGGAGAGGGCCCAGCACAGTGGCATAGCAGGTAAAGCTGCTGCCTGCACTGCTGGTATCCCGTATGGGCGCTGGTTCGTGTCCTGGCTGCTCCACTTCTGATTCAGCTCCCTGCTAATAGCCTGGCAGAGCAGGGAAGATGGCCCAAGTGCTTAGGACCCTACGTCTATGTGGGAGACCTAGATTAAGCTCCTGGCTCTTGGCTTTGGATCAGCCAAGTTCTGGCCTTGAGAAGTGAACCAGTAGATGGAAGATCTCTCTCTCTAACCCTGCCTTTCAAGTAAATAAATAAAGCTTAAAAGGAAATACATGGGATGAACATTGTGTTGCAGCAGGTTAAGTACCAGCTGGAGTTCTAGCTGCTCTGCCCTGCCCTTCTAATCCAGTTTCCTGTTAATACACTTGTGAAGCAACAGAGGGTGCCTTGGGTGCCTGCTGGGAGCCCTGATGGAGTTCCAGTCTCCTGGTTTAGGTCTGGCCGGGCTGTGCTGTTACAGGGATTTGAGGGGTGAACCAGTAGATGGAAGATCTTTCTCGGGTCTCCTGCTCTTTCTGCCTTTCAAATAAATAACTTTTTTTTAAAGATGCAGATAGATTCTAGAGAAAACATTTGGGAATAGTAACCTCAAGGGAGTGGAAGATGAGGACAGGGATAAATTTTTTTTTTAAATATTTATTTTCTTTGAAAGAGTTACAGAAATATATGAGATGCTGGCACTGCAGGCAGCAGCTTTACTTGCTATGCCACAGTGCCAGCCCTATTTTTTATTTCTGAATTCAAAATATTTCAATGACTACCATGTTTCAAACATAGGTATTTGATGAGAAAACATAGTCGACAAAGATTGTTGTCTCATCAAGTTTAACATTGAAAATCAATGTTGGCCGGCGCCGCGGCTCAATAGGCTAATCCTCCATCTAGTGGCGCCAGCACACCAGGTTCTAGTCCCGGTCGGGGTGCCAGGTTCTGTCCCGGTTGCCCCTCTTCCAGGCCAGCTCTCTGCTGTGGCCAGGGAGTGCAGTGGAGGATGGCCCAAGTGCTTGGGCCCTGCACTCCATGGGAGACCAGGAGAAGCACCTGGCTCCTGGCTTCGGATCAGCACGGTGCGCCGGCCGCAGCGCGCCAGCCGTGGCGGCCATTGGAGGGTGAACCAACGGCAAAGGAAGACCTTTCTCTCTGTCTCTCTCACTATCCACTCTGCCTGTCACAAAAAAGACAACAGAACAGCAGAAAGAAAGAAAATCAGTGTTTAAAAATCTCCCATACCGGAAATAAAATTTAAAAATAGTAAGCAAAACGGGCCAGTGCTGTGGCGCATTGGTTAATCCTCTGCCTGCGGCGCCAGCATCCCAAATGGGCACCGGTTCTAGCCCCGGCTGCTCCTCTTCCCATCCAGCTCTCTGCTAACGGCCTGAGAAAGCAGTATAAGACGACCCTAGTGCTTGGGCCTCTGCACCCGCATGGGAGACCCGGAAGGAGCTCCTGGCTCCTGACTTCAGATCGGCACAGCTCCAGCCGTTGCAGCCATCTGGAGAGTGGACCAGCATATGGAAGACCTTTCTCTCTGTCTCTCCCTCTCACTGTCTGTAACTCTACCTCTCAAATAAATAAATAAATAAATAAATTTTTTATTTAATTTTTTTTCTTTAAAAAAATTAGTAAGCAAAGAACACAGCACAGTGACTGGGAAAATCACTTATTTGCAGTTACAATTCAAAAGCCAGCAACTGCCGCCTTGGGGAATGCACTGGATGCCAGGTTTTGGACCCAGTGCTTTTCCCAACTTTTTTCCTTTGCAACTCTCAGGTAAGCACTACCGTCCACATCAGACTAGGTTAAACAACTTTGCCAGCAGAATTTGCAAGGTCTCAATCTAGAGCCAGAGCACCCAACCACCAGGATCATGCTGGAAGTCAGGACGCTTGTGTGTGGGCCTCAAGGTTTCAGACTGATGAGTTTTTGGATTGAAGGCCAAACATTGAGGCTCAGGATGTGCAGACTGGGAAGGAAAACCCTTCGGGGCCCATCAGCTCAGGGAAGCCCCAGAGAGGGACCCTCAAGCCCTGAAGAATTAGCTTCACCGTCCGAAACAGATGCCACTCACCACGCGTAGAAAGTAGAAAGCAGCAACCCAGGCAGCTAAGCTGCCCGCCTGCAGCATCCTATATAGACCTCGGTTGGGGTCCCAGCTGCTGCACTTCCCATCCAGCTCCCTGCTAATGCGCCTGGGAAAGCAGTGGAAGATGGTCCCCGTGCTTGGGCCCCTGCACCCACGTGGGAGACGAGGAAGCTCCTGGCTCCACCTAGCCCAGTCCCGGGCTGGAGGACAGTTGGGGAGTGAACCAGCGGATGGAAGACATTTCTCTCTGCCTCTGAAACTCCACCTTTAGAATAAATAAATCTTTTGGGAGGGGGGGAGGGAACAACAAACAGCTTTCCATCCTGAGAACTGGGAGCCAGCGAGAGGCTGTCCCTACGTCCAAGCCCCGTCCTCTGAGGGCCTTCTACGTGGGGTCACTTCTCTGCAGCGGGTCTCATCTGCGACAGCATTTAGTGAGTGGATGGCTACGGTTACCCCAATCCACACGCCTTGCAGCCCTCCTCGCCCACGTGACGGGGACTGAGGGGACTTCCTGTCCCCGCGTCTTCAAAAGTCTCGTGTTTGGCGGCCTGGGAGACCGGGTAGAGGCGCGGGGCTGAAGCAGGGCGGAGGCCAGCCCCGGGTCCCAAAGGCGTCCTCTCCACTGATCCATATTGCTCTTCTGATGCACGTCGTATTTACAACTACTAGCCGTGGTTGTGCTACAAAGTCGGAGATGCGCCAGACACAGCGAGTTACAGGAAGAACACACCGGCTACGCCCCGCCCCTTCCGCTCTCGCGGCGCCTGCGCCCTGCGCCCCGCCCGCCGGGATCCGGAAGCTGCGCGCCCAGCCAGTCGCCGGAAAACCCGGAAGGGAGCATGCGTCCAGACGCCTGTCGCGGAGGTTCGGAGCGTGCGCAGAAGGCGTCCGAGTCTGAAGCTCTGGAGCGGTCACTCCAGCGCCGAGCGGCGCCCGCGAGGGCCTGTGAGGCCCTCGAAGTCGCTCCTCTGGTGTGGCCATGGCCGCCAGCCTATGGATGGGAGACGTGAGTGAGCGCGGCCGCAGGGGAGCTGAGGAGGAAGCTCGGGGTCGCGAGGGAGGACGGGTCTGAGGGGGAGGGTCTTTAGATTCCCGCGTTGGGGGGAGGGTTCCTTTCGGTGACCGCGGTGGGGCTCCCGGGGTCCCCGGTGGATTCCCGGACGGAAAAGGGACGTTCTGTGAGGGGTGCAATGTGGGTGTGGGGCTGGAGGGTGGGATCCCTAGGACCGAGGCCCTCTGGGAAGGAAGCGAGTTTGTAGGGGAGGACCTGGCCGTGGGGACGCCGCGCGGGGCAAGTGCCCAGCGCCCAGCGCCCAGCGCGCGGAGCTGCCCGCTGGGCCGAGGGGGCGGGAAGAGCAGCCGCGGGACGCCGGCCCGAGCCGCTCCGCTCTGGTTTTGCGCAGCTGGAGCCCTACATGGATGAGAACTTCATCTCCAGAGCCTTCGCCACCATGGGGGAGACCGTGATGAGCGTCAAAATTATCCGCAACCGCCTCACTGGGTACATCTCCTTCCCTCTGCTCAGTCGATTGCGCGGCGGCCGTCCTCCGGGAGCCCTCGCCGCCCCTCGCGAGGCGGTGACGCTAGCAAGGATAACATTTTGCGGGCTCGTGGAGTGGAAGGATAATAGAGCGCCCGCAGACGAGACTCTGTTACGTGATCTTGGGTCAGTCTCTGAACCATTCGGTCTCGTTCAGCTTGAGCGTGAACATGGGCATAGCTAACAGTGGCAGCTGTGGCACAGAGCGACGGGGACTGCATGATTCTCATGCAGTGCCAGGCGTGTGGTATGTGCTCTATAAGTCACAGATTATGATCTGCTGGGTAAGAAGCGCTTCACATCAGCTTTTCAAAGTCACGAAAACCTCTGAGCTGAGTACTGTTCTTAGAGAAGCTTTATGATTGTCTTAAAGTCATACGGCTATTAAGTGACAAGTCAGAATTTGAGTTCGACTCCTTAACTCTTAAGCAGTTCATTTTTTTTTTTTAATAAGATTTATTTATTTATTTGGAAGGCAGAGTTACAGAGAGGCAGAGTGAGAGGAAAGGGTCTTTCATTTGCTGGTTCACTCCCCAATTGGCTGCAACTACCAGAGCTGTGCCGATCCGAAGCCAGGAGCTTCATGTGGGTACAGAGGCCCAGAGACTTGAGCCATCCTTTGCTGGTTTCCCAGGGCATAGCAGAGAGCTGGACTGAAGTGGAGCAGCCAGGACTCAGACCAGTGCCCATATGGGATGCAGGCACTGCAGACTGGGGCTTTAACCTGCTGCGTCACAGCGTCGTCCCCTCTTTTTAAAACTCTTGGTATACTACTGTGTGCTGCTGTTCTGGATTCCTGGAATAAATGGCTGAAATAAGCCAGAAATAGGCTCTGCTCTTGTGGAATTGACTACATTGCAAAGGGAGAATGAGACAAATAAGTAAACAGAGCAAGATTCAGATAGGAGTGCCCTGTTGCCTCTACTTTCTTTTTCCTTGAGTCTTAGTTTTCCTTGCATTCTGGTTAGAAGTTAGAGGATTCTTTATCAATTTACAGTGTTGAGCAAGTATTTGGTGGCAGTGTGGCTTACTGGAGCATCAGATGGTTTAAAAATAGAGATGCGTGATCTCACGTGTGACCAGCTCTGGCTCTTTGGTGAACAGGAACTTTGTGTATTCAGGATAACCCCATTACCCAGGGATACATTTTCCGACTGGTAGATCATGCCTCTCTAAATATTGCTCTGCCGCTCAGTACACAGAAAGCCCAGAGAATGAGCTGCTGTCATAAAAATTAGTTCTGTAACACTGGCCCCGTTTTAAAAGAGTGGCATAGATTCTCGCATTTTGACCTTGATTGAAATATTTGAAACTATCTTTTTTTCAGCTATGACCTAGATGTTACTTCCTGTGGGACCTGCCAACCATTATATATATATATATTTACAACTTGCTTCATTTGGAAAAAGCTTTGAAATGGCTTACAAGAACACTATAAAATAAGTAGATGCTGAAGGGGAAAAAAAAGCAAATGTGAATTAAAAGCCAGGACTAGCTAAGGGGAAAGGATAAAATCCCAAGAAAAATAATATGTAATAAAGTGTAGTGCTTAAGAATGCAGTCTGTGGTTGCACAACAGTGTGAATGTACTTAATCCCTAGAACTGTATGCTTAAAATGGTTAAAGTCATCTACTTCATGTTATGTAGGGATTTATTTATTTAGAGATTTATTTTATTTATTTGAAAGAGTTACAGAGAGAGGTCTTCCATCTGCTGGTTCACTCCCCAGATGGCTGCAATGGCCAGAGCTGTGCCAATCCAAAGCCAGGAGCTTCTTCGAGGTCTCCCACGTGGGTGCAGGAGCCCAAGCACTTGGGCCATCTGCTACTGCTTTCCCAGACCATAGCAGAGAGCTGGATCAGAAGAGGAGCAGACGGGGCTAAAACCAGCACCTATTGGAATGCTGGCACTTCAGGCCAGGGCGTTAACCCACTGCGCCACAGTGCCAGCCCCTAAATATGTATTTAACCACAACAAAAACTATTAAAAAACAAAACAGATGTGGAGCAACCACACTTTCATTCAATGTTTGTAGGAATGTAAAATGGAATAACTACTGACACCTGCTAAGTCTAGGCTTACATGCTTCCCCAAGAGGAATGAAAACATATATTAATGAAAGCATACACACTCACACACATTTTTTTCCTCAGGAAGTACTTAAAGAATGCTCCTAGCAGCTTTTAGATTATAGCCAAAAACTGCAAACAGCCCAGGTATCCCTGAATAGATGACTAGGTAAACAAGTACGAGTATTTTCATGTCCTAGAATACTGCTCAGCAACAGAAAGGAACAAATTACTGATAGAACAACAGCATGGATGAATTTCAAAAACATGCTAAATGAAAGAAGCCCACTGCATAATCCATTCATTGGAGATGCTGCAATCACAAAATTAATCTGTGGTGGAAATAATTCAGCCTCTAGGAGGATTTCTGTACTTTGTTGCAAGTAAATTTTACCTTAGAAACAAAACAAAACAATAATTGAATTTCAGTTAATGACATGCATACTAAAGTAATTGGGAAAATTATGCTGATCTCTGCAACTAATTTTGAAATGCATAGAATAAGGATGGTAGATGAGTAGAGGGTGGATAGGTATGTGATAGATAAAATCAGTACAGTAAAATGATGGTTGTACCTAGGGCATGAAAGTATTGCTGTACAAGTCCAGTTTTTTTATATTGGAAACTTTTTTAAAGATTTGTTTATTATTTTATTTGAAAGTCTGAGCTACACAAAGAGAGGAGAGGCAGAGAGTGAGAGAGAGAGAAAGGTCTTCCATCTGATGGTTCACTCCCCAATTGGCCACAGTGGCCAGAGCTGTGCCATGCTAAAGCCAGGAGCTTCTTCTGGGTCCCCCACATGGGTGCGGGGGCCCAAGGACTTGGGCCATCTTCTACTGCTTTCCTAGCCCATAGCAGAGAGCTAGATAGGAAGTGGAGCAGCCGAAACTTGAGCTGGCACCCATATGAGATGCTGGTGCTTCAGGCCAGGGTGTTAACCCGCTGCACCACAGCGCCGGCCCCATATTAGAAATTTTTTATAATAAAATGTTGGGAGGAAATATGATCATACTCTCTTGAATTCAAATATGCCTTTCAAATAAATCTTTAAATAAAAAAGATGTATTTTATTGAATTGAAAGGCAGAGTGACACACAGAGAGAGAGATCTATATGCTGTTTCAGTTCCCAAATGGCTGCAATAGCCAGGAGCCTAGAAGTCCTGGGTTTTCCACATGAATCACTGGAGTCCAAGCACTTGGGCCATCATCAGTGCTTTCCCACACGTATTAGCAGGGAGCTGAAGAGCAAGTGGAGCAGCCAGGTCTGGAACCAGTGCTCCTATGTGGATGCCAGCAGCATCTCAGGTGGCAGCCATTAAACACTGATTTTTTTTTTTTTTTAAGGAGGCACGACTCGTTGTCTTACATGTCATTTTGTGCATTCTGATCTTACAGTCTGGATGTGTTTCCTTGTGTTTTACTTGCCCTGTCCCTAATGTTTTCTGTAAAGTAGATGTTGGATCTAAAGGTTGATTGGATTGCATTAAACATTTCTGGCAAGAGTACTTCATAGTAGATTTAGTACATCAATAGTGCTTACTAAATGAGTCTAGGACGGGCCATATATTCACTTTGTCAGTTCTGAACTGGAATATGGCAGGGAACAAAACAGTGTGGTCTCTGATCAGAAAGCCATTTGTGGGACTGGCACTGTGGCATAGTGGGTAAAGCCTCTGCCTGCAGTGCCAGCATCCCATATGGGTACCGGTTCAAGTCCCAGCTGCTCCTCTTCAGTTCCAGATCGCTGCTATGGCCTGGGAAAGCAGTAGAAGATGACCCAAGTCCTTGGACCCCTGCACAAGTGTGGGAGACCCAGAAGAAGCTTCTGGCTTCTGGCCTTGGATTGGCGCAGCTCTGGCCGTTGCAGCTAGTTGGGGAGTGAACCAGCAGATGGAAGATCTTTCTCTCTCTCTTTTCTCTCTCTCTCTCTCTCTCTGCCTCTCTGCCTCTCCTCTTTCAGTGTAACTCTGACTTTCAAATAAATAAATCTTAAAAAAAAAAAAAAAAGCCATTTGTCCCTCCTTCAGGCCAAGACTCACCTGGTGTCTGTCACCATTTTCCTCCTCTGTTGCTTTCTTTCTAGGATTCCAGCGGGCTACTGCTTTGTAGAGTTCGCAGATTTGGCTACAGCAGAGAAGTGTTTGCATAAAATTAATGGAAAACCCCTTCCAGGAGCCACGCCTGTAAGGACATTTAGATAATGATGTTGCCATTTAACTATCATTGATAACTAGCATTTCCTAAATCCCGATTGTATACTTGTATCATTTTATTTAATCCTGTAACAACCTGTACAATAGGCATTATCTTTGACAGCTCAGGAAACTGAAGCTCAGGGAAGTGAAATAACTTGTCCAAAGCAAGTAGTAAGTGGCAGACCCAGGATTCGAATGGAAGATTGGATACCTCCAAGTCCATGCCCTTTTCCCCTCTGCATCACTGCCTCCTGTAAAGGAAGACTTGAAATTTGAGGTTTTTTTCTGATTGAGAATCTAGAACAGTCTGGCAGCAGCATGGACACATTTCAAGAGAGTTACATTCTGCTCTTCCCACAGTTACTTAGCTTACAGCTGTACCAGCTGGCACACCTGGGCACATAGAACCATGGAGCTGGCAGTGCCCTTAGCGGTCATCCGTGCAACCCCTTCATTTTATACAGGAGAAAAAGCTGAGGCTTAGAAAGGGGGAGATGTTTTGGCCAAGGTAATTTATTTTGGTGTTTTTTTTTTTCCAAATATTGTTTGACTTTTGAAACACCTTTCCCTGTTTTAATTTATTTGTTTTTAAATTTTCAGGCAAAACGTTTTAAATTGAACTATGCCACTTATGGGAAACAACCAGATAACAGGTGAGTACAGTTGCCCCACAGCAACTTCAAGCCCCATCAAATGCCTGAACAAAGGCAGAACATGTCCCTGTCCCAGTCACTGCTGGTGAGGAGGATGGGAACTGAGTGTGACTGTATGCTGTACTCCGAAGGAGAACTCCCTCCTGCTTCCCCATTGTGCACTCCCGCCCTGGTGTCCTGCTGTCAAGGCCATGTCTTTTTTTTTTTTTTTTTTTAATGGAATTATTTATTTATTTGAAAAGCAGGGTTACAGGGAGGAGAGAGAGAGAAAAAGATCTTCCGTCTGCCAATTCATTCCCCATAAGCCTTCAACAGACTGGCCTGGGACTGGGCTTAGGCTGAAGCCAGGAGCCTAGAATTCCATTCAGATCTCCCATGTGGGTGGCAGGAGTCCAAGCACTTAGGTCATCTTCTACCATTTTCCCAGGTGCATTAGGGAGCTGCATAGAAAACGGAGTAGTGAATCTGGAACTGGTGCTCATATGGAATGCTGGCATCACAGGCATTAACCTACTACTCTGTGATGCCGGCCCCAAGGCCGTGTCTTTTGTATATCTCCACCCTGTTCCTCCCCTAAATGTTGAGATTTTATTCAGTAAAAATTGACCTGTGGTAATAAACAAGGTGTTTGGCATTTCAGGCTGCTTTGTGAAAACTTTAAAGCAATGTATCCAAAGTTTTTCCTTATGCCTTTGTGTATTCTGATTTTATACAAGGACCATGTACCACATTGAAATAAGATAACAAAACTTGCTTCTTCATTTTTGTTTAAGAGTCAGAAAGATACACAGAAAGCTCCTGTCCATTAGTTCACTCCTCAAATGCCCAAAGTGGCCAAACTGGGAGTTGGGAGTTCAATCAAGGTCTCCTACAGGGGTGGCAGGATCCCAGTCAGTTGAGCCATTACCACTGCCTCCTAGGATCTGCATTAGCAGGAAGCTGCAGTCAGGAGCCAGAGGCAGAAATGGAACCCAAGTACTCTGATGTGGACACGGATGTCGTAACCACCAGGCTAAACACCCACTCCTCATTTCTTGAACAGAATTGATCCTCTAGAACAGAGTTGGAAAACTTTTATCTGATTTATATCACCCCAAGCTAAAAGTAGTTTTTATGTTTTTAAAGGATTATAGAACCAGGTCACAAAGAAAATGTAGACACCATAGATACCCCACAAGGCCCAAAATGCTGAACTCGACAAAAAAGTTTACTGGGCACTGTTCTCAAAGTTCAAGATTTTCTTTTTCTTTTTTTTTTTTCTTTTCTTTCTTTCTTTCTTTTTTTTTTTTTTTTTGACAGAGTGGACAATGAGAGAGACAGAGAGAAAGGTCTTCCTTTTGCCGTTGGTTCACCCTCCAATGGCCGGCGCGCTGCGGCCGGTGCACCACACTGATCCGAAAGGCAGGAGCCAGGTGTTTCTCCTGGTCTCCCATGGGGTGTAAGGCCCAAGGACTTGGGCCATCCTCCACTGCACACCTGGGCCACAGCAGAGAGCTGGCCTGGAAGAGGGGCAACTGGGACAGAATCCGGCACCCCGACCGGGACTAGAACCCGGTGAGCTGGCGCCGCAGACGGAGGATTAGCCTATTGAGCTGCAGCGCTGGCCAAAGTTCAAGGTTTTCATTTTAGCTGGGCTTTGGGTCATTATAAGATAATATCCAGTTCTCATTCTCTTTTAACATTTGAATTAAAGTGCTCAAAGAGTACAGTATGTTTTATCTTTTGAGGCCTCAGCGATGCGTCTCTGATCCTTCCCTCCTGTCTGTATTCCCTAATGCTTGAAGCCACAGACTGGGCAAGCAGGGGAGGGGTTCAGGGCAGGAGTAGTTCAGGGTAGTGGCTTCTCCACTACCAATGAAGATAAGCAAGGCCTGCTGAAGTGGGCCCCTCAGATGGGCTGGGGAAGGCAGACCTAGACTGTCACAGAGCTGTGCTGGGCAGAGGTTACGTTTTTGTGTCTGACTCTCGTTCTTTCCTCTCAGTCCTGAATACTCCCTTTTCGTGGGGGACTTGACTGCAGACGTGGATGACGGCATGCTGTACGAATTCTTCGTCAAAGTCTACCCCTCTTGTCGAGGAGGCAAGGTGGTTTTAGACCAGACGGGCGTGTCTAAGTAAGGCCTTACCTGTTGTTGATGCCTACTGTGTTGGTTTCCGTATACTTCTGTCCCGGGTGGAGATGCTGGAGAGAGGCGGCAGAGCGTGAGTCAGAGCCCAGGCTTTGGAGCCAGACTACCTGGCTGGAATCCCTGCTCCGCACTGTCCAGGGATCGTGGAGTAGATGATGCTCAGAGCTTCTCTGACCCTGTTTCCTCATCTGTTCCGTCATAGTATCTGCTCCAGGACTTGGTGGAAGGATTTAAGGATAGAAGTGAGCAACACAGGAAATGCTTTGTCAGTGTTGGCTGTTTTGTTACTGAGCCTTTTAGTACAATCAGAAATTTTGTATTGCAAAAATGGGAAGCATCTCCAGAAAGGCTCATTTTGATCAGCATAGTAGTTGTAAGTTCCAGCTCTGGGAGTGACAAATGGGGATTTAAATTCTGCTTCTATTATGACTCTGGGCAAGTTATTAAACCTCTTTGAACTTTGGCTACCCTCTCATAACATGGGACCCTCCCTTTATGGAATTAGACAGTTTGATGAGATAACCCTGGGAAAATGCTCATTATGGTGCCTGGAAAATAAGCATTCTTTAAATGTTAACTATCCTTAATTTATGCCCCAGTTGCAGTGTGAACTCGGGAGAGCTGAACTTTGTGACTTCCATGTCCCATGCCTAGCATAGTACGTGGCCTGTAGGGCAGACTCTGTAAATAGTAAAGAGCATCCGCTGTTACTGCTGTTGATACCACCATAGTGATAATGACAATCGTTACTTTACTTTCCATTAGAGTGAGAGGAAAGCTACAGTTTGGGAAGGACCCCCAAGGGTGAAGGTATCAAGGAGAGTGGTGAACTGAAAGGAAGAATTCCTGTAGCTCTCAGGATCAGCCAGCCCTTGAGTGAACCTCTGCTGCTCTGTAGACACCTCCACCAATGGGGATCTCATCCTGCCCACCTTTTCCATGCCTCCATTGTGAGACTTTACCTTCACCACATTTGTCATCTAAACAGTGTGTTGGTTTTCCTTTCCTGCAGGGGTTACGGATTCGTGAAATTCACAGATGAACTTGAACAGAAGCGAGCCCTGACAGAGTGCCAGGGAGCAGTAGGACTGGGGTCTAAACCTGTGCGGCTGAGCGTGGCCATCCCCAAAGCGTGAGTCTTGCAGGGAAGGTAGAGGGTCTCCGGACTTGCCCCAGCCATTTACTGAAAATCAGGGCATCCACGTGCTGGATGGGAAGCTGCAGGGAGATTCCATTCAAGTCACAAATCCTCACTGTTTTCTCCTTGCCAGGCTGCATGCTGGGGGTTAAAGATGAACCAGCATTACCTCCAGGGGCTATAGTTGGGAATAGAGTAGGGGAGGCAGAGGTGTTCAGATGTTGCTGGTAGCAACACTGGGAAAGCTGTAGAAATACTATGTAGACTATTTATTATGTACATCGCTGTTCTGCCTGTCATGCACGATAGAAAACCCACTCTCCCTTACAAGTCCGAGCAGGTCTCTTGGGTGGAAATCAGACTGCTGTCTCTAAATAGCATCTCGTCATTCAGCTAAAGCATTGATTCTCAACAGAGGGTGATTGCAATACCTGGAGACGTTTTCGGTTATCGCAACTGAGGCTGTGCTACTGGCATTTAGTGGGTAGAGGCCAGACATAGCTGCTTCACATCCAGCAATGTATAGGATAGCCCCATGGCAAGGAATATGTGACAACACAACCACCAACATCAGTAGAGCCAAGACTGAGAAACTCCACACCAAAAGAACAAGGTAGCTCATTAGGGTAGAGTTCCAAATGGCCGTTTTTAAGATTTGTAAATTTATTTTATTTGAAAGGCAGAGAGATAGAGAGAAAGAGCTCTCATCTACTGGTTTCCCCAAATGCCCACAACAGCCAGGGTTAGGCCAGGCCAAAACTAGGAGCCAGGAACTCCTTCTGGATCTCCAACATGGGTAGCAGGGACCCATGTACTTGAGCTATCACCTGATGCCTTCTAGGGTGCACATTAGCAGGAAGCTGGATCAGAAGCGGAGGAGTTGGAGCTTCAACCAGACGCCTTGATATGGGATATGAGGGGCCGCTGCTGTGGCGTAGGTTAAACCTCTGCCTGTGCTATGTCACAACACCAGCCCTAAGGAGCATTTTTCAAGGAAACTTGAAGCTTTCCTGGCTTTGGCCTGGGATGTGTTACTATTTATTCAGTCAATAATTACTGAGTCCCTACGGCAACTTGGGAGGTGTCCTAGACTTTGGAGATGGAGCTTTAAGCAGGAGAAACAGAGTACCTCTTGCAAGGAGGTTATATTCTGTTACATCCATTTCAGCTTGGACATTGTCAGCATTTGGAATGAGGGCCCTTTGAGAACTGACTGTACCTTGTCTGGAGAAACAGAACAGATGTGCAAAGTCAAACCCCAGCCAGGGAGCCTGCACTGAACATGGCCCCTGGTTTCATGGACGGGGAGGGGCGACTACTAGCATTGCCCATCTGCCAGTGAACTTCACCGAGCCATCCCAGTCTGGAGGGAAGTGCTTCAGGCTCAGCCTAAGAAATCAAATGTGGAGTCTTCCTGACACTCTGGCTGGGTCTGCTCACCAGCTTTCCTTAGGGAGTGAGCATTTAGGATAGCAGTTAAGACGTCGTTTGGAACACCTCCATCCCAGACTGGAGTGCCTGGGTTTGAGTCTCCATTCTGCTCTTAATTCCAGCTTCCTGTTAAGGTATACCCTGGGAGCACCTGAGTGGGAGTCCCGGAAGAAGCCCCTGGCTCCTGGATTTGGATCAGATCATCCCAGTTCTGGCCATTGCAGCCATTTGGGGAGTGAACTAATGCATGAAAGACTTTTTCTAAAAGGAAGCTGTCATGGCTCTTCACTCACTTCTCTGTCTCTTGGCAGACATATGAAGAAGTCGGAGATGATGCACTGGAAGGTAAGAAAGAGTGCATTTGTTCATTCCTTTGTCAGCTGTTGAAAAGTCACTGCTTTGGCTGGCGCCGCGGCTCACTAGGCTAATCCTCCTCCTTGCAGCGCTGGCACACCAGGTTCTAGTCCCGGTCGGGGCGCCGGATTCTGTCCCGGTTGCCCCTCTTTCAGGCCAGCTCTCTGCTGTGGCCAGGGAGTGCAGTGGAGGATGGCCCAGGTGCTTGGGCCCTGCACCCCATGGGAGACCAGGAGAAGCACCTGGCTCCTGGCTCCTGCCATCGGATCAGCGCGGTGCGCCGGCCGCATCGCGCTGGCCGCGGCGGCCATTGGAGGGTGAACCAACGGCAAAGGAAGACCTTTCTCTCTGTCTCTCTCTCTCTCACTATTCACTCTGCCTGTCAAAAAAAAAAAAAAAAGAAAGAAAGAAAAGAAAAGAAAAGTCACTGCTTTGTTAGAGGCACTGTACCCTTATCAGCCAGATGCTGAGGGAATACATGGTAAATGCTGCTCTGGAGGCGCTTTGGTTCTAGAGAGAGCCAGGTGTCCTCATAGTTACAGTGGGGTGTGAGCGCATTCCCACAGAGCTCACCACTCCCTGGACAGGCAGTGCTTCACCCTGAGGTGGGGTCTCTAATGGTGACCTGTTACCTTGTATTTGCTTGGACAGTTTGTAAATTGATTTTTTATTAAAAGTATTTAGGGCCAGCGCTGTGGTGCAGAAGGTTAAAGCCCCAGCCTGCACTGCCAGCATCCCAGTGGGTATGGGCACTGGTTCGAGTCCCAGCTGCTCGACTTCCAGTCCAGCTCTCTGCATGGCCTGGGAAAGCAGTAGAAGATGGCCCAAGTGCTTGGGCCCCTGTACCTGCATGGGAGACCCAGAAGAAGCTCCTGGCTTCGGATCGGCCCAGCTCCAGACATTGTGGCCATTTGGGAGGTGAACCAGTGGATCAAAAACCTGTCTGTCTGTCTCTGTCTCTGCTCCCTATAACTCTACCTTTCAAATAAATTAATTAATTAAAAAAAAAAAAAAAAGAGCAGCAGCAGGGACTTGAACCGTTGCTCTGATATGGGATGCAGGTGTTGCAGGCAGCAGCTTAACTCACTGTACAACACCAGTCCCAAATGTTAAGTTTTTTTTTTTTTTTTAAAGGTTTATTGATTCGTTTGAAGGGCAGAGTTTTATATATATATATATATATATATAGAGAGAGAGAGAGAGAGAGAGAGAGAGAGAGAGATCTTCCATCCATTGGTTCACTCCCCAAATGGTCCCAATAGCCAGCACTGGGCCAAGCCAAAGCCAGGAGCCTCTTCTAGGTCTTTCACATGGGTGGCCAGGGCCTAAGCACTTGGGCCATCTTCTGCTGCTTTCCCAGGCACATTAGCAGGGAGCTGTATTGGAAGTAGAGCAGCCAGGAATCAGTCACATTTAACCTCTTGCATGAGATATAGCTAATTTATTTGTTTAATTATTTGAAAGGCAGTAATAGATCTTAACCTCGCTGTTTCACTCCCCAAATATCCACAACAGCTAAAGATGGGCCAGACTGAAGCCAGGAGCCTGGAACTCAATCCAGGTCTACCATGTAGGTGGCAGGATCCTAAGTACTTGAACTGTTACCTGTTGCCTCCCCAGGTGCACACCACCAGGAATCTAGAATCAGGAGCAGAGGAGGGACTCAAACACAGGCATCCAGTATGGATGTAGGCATCCCAAGCAGCATCTTAACCACTGTGCCAGACACCTTCCTCCTTCCGCTCTTCTGATCCAGTGTTGCAGGACACAGAGGAGCTCACTAGCAGGTGGGGAACTTGGTGTCCCCAAAGCCCTGGTGATCTGCTGAGAGTCACACAGTGACCTGGGGCAGAGTCAGGACTGGCATCCCTGTTTTCCTGTACTCAAGTCTCTAGCTCTTTCTCCCAGGAAGCACCACCTCGTTTTTGGAGGTAATTTACCTAATGATATTGTTGGTATGTTACTCCTTACAATTTTCTAATCTCTTTTTTACCTATCAGCAACACAGTAACCATTAACATAGCTCATGCCAAACACTGCTGCCTGTCATCACTCTGATGGAGGGGTATCATCCTGTTCTCCATTCTACAGAAAAGAAAACTGAGGTTAGAGCTAGCAGTAGTAGTAGTAGTGAGGCTTTGCTCTGTGCAGGGCACGATTCTAAGCTCTTTACATTCATTGATTCTCTTCACAACACTTTCGAGGAAAGTGCCACAAGTACCTTGAGGTTTTTTTTTTTTTTTTTACAGGCAGAGTGGACAGTGAGAGAGAGAGACAGAGAAAGGTCTTCCTTTGCCGTTGGTTCACTCTCCAATGGCCAGCGCACTGTGCTGATCCGATGGCAGGAGCCAGGTACTTATCCTGGTCTCCCATGGGGTGCAGGGCCCAAGTACTCGGGCCATCCTCCACTGCACTCCCGGGCCACAGCAGAGAGCTGGCCTGGAAGAGGGGCAACCGGGACAGAATCCGGCACCCCGACCGGGACTAGAACCTGGTGTGCCGGCGCCGCAAGGCGGAAGATTATCCTAGTGAGTTGCAGCGCCGGCCCAAGTACCTTGAGTTTATAAGATAAAAATCCAAGGTAGAGTTTTTTAGAGTAGGCAAGGGAGCAGGTGTTTGGTGCAGCAGCTTAAGTCGTCACTTGGAACGCCCACATCACATTGCATGTACCTGGCCAGTCCTGGGTCCTCCACTTCATATCCAGCTCCCTGCTAATGCACATCCTGGGAGACAGCAGGGAATGGCTCAAGTACTTGAGTCCCTGCCCCACCCATGGGAGACCTGGAGGCAGTTGTGGACTCTTAGCTTTGGCCTGGCCCAGCCCTGGCTGTTGTAGGCATTTGGGAAGTGAACCAGCAGATAGAAGATGTCTGCCTGTCTTCAAGTAAAATGGAAATACATTACAATTTTTAAAAAGTAGATGAAAAAGCTGGATGTAAAGTTAGGCATTTTGTCTAGTGGTTAATATGCCCATGTCTCACATCCGTGTCTGGATTCAGTTCCCTCTTCTGCTCCTGACAGAGCTTCCTGTTAGTGTAGATCCTGGGAGGCAGCAGTGATGGCTCAAGTTGCTGGATTCCTACTACTCACCTGGGAGACCTGAATTGTGTTTCTGGCTTCTAGCTTCTACCCAGCCCAGCTGTTGGCAGGCATTTTGGGAGTGGAACGAGTGGATGTGAGCTTTCTTTATCTACCTCTTTCTGTCTCTGTCTCTTTGCCTCTCCAATATACTTTAAAACTTCAAAAATAAATACAGATGCCAACTTTAAAAGGAAAGAAAGCTGGAAATAATTTACACAAGAAACATAAATGGCCTATAAATGGCAGAAAGAAAAGAGTTTAAACATCATTTCTATTAGTCACGGTTCTTCAGAGAAACAGCACCAGTGAGAGATTTTAAAATATGTGTGTATCTGTAAAAAGTCAGTTCTACCCTTTGAATCAGAGATTTTACTTGAACGTTATAATCCCGGAACATGCATTTGGCACAGTGGTTAATCACTGCTTGGGATGCCCATATCCCTTAGTGATGGCCTAGTTTGAGTCCTGGTTCCTCTGCTTCCCATCTATCTTCCTGCTAATGTACACCCTAGGAGAAAGCAGGTGATGGCTCAAGTAGTTTGGGTACCTGTGACCTACATGGGAGACCCAGATTAAGTTCCAGGGTCCTGGCTTTGGCCTGGCCCAGCTCTGGCTATTGTGGACATTTGTGGAGTGAACCAGAAGATGAGATCTATCTATCTCTCTCTCTCTCTCTCTCTCTCTCTCTCTGCCTTTCAAATAAAATTAAAGTAAATCATGTTTTTAGAATAAAATTATTTTATTCCAAAATGCTAATCATTAATACATATAAATGTCCAATAACAGGCTTTGTTTAGCAAATACTGGTGGCTGTTTTTTTCCTTTTTTTTTTTTTAAGTCATGTCAATTTTTTCTAAAAATATTGACATAAAAAATGGTCTCAATGAAAAAAAGCCAGATACAAAATTAGATGGGGCAGACATTTGGCCTGATGGTCGTACCGCCAGTTTGCAGGCCTGCGTCCCATGCTGGAGTTCAAGTCCCAGCTCTGCATTCAGTTCCAGCATCCTGCTGATGTGCACCCTGGGAGGCAGCAGGGATGGCTCAAGTACTTGGTTTCCTGCCAAACACACTGCAGACCTGGATTGAGTTCCCAGCTCATGGCTTTGGGTTGGCTCAACCCCAGCTATTATGAGCACTTAGAGAGTGAACCAGCAGTTGGCATCTTTATCTCTCTGTCCATCTTTATCTCTGTCTCTTCCTTTCAAATAAAATGTAAAATATGGGGCCATCATTGTGGCCCAGCAGATTAAGCTGCCTCCTGGATGCTGGTATCCTATATTATTAGCACCACTTTGAGTCCCAGCTGCTCCACTTCTGATCCAGCTCTCTGCTGTTGCACCTGGGAAAGCAGCGGAGGATGGTCCAAGTGCTTGGGCCCCTGCCACCCTTACGGGAGACCTAGAAGAAGCTCCTAGCTCATGGCTTCAGCCTGGCCCAGTCTCAGCCTTGCAACCATTTGAGGAGTGACAGTGGTTGGAAGATCTCTGTCTCTCCCTCTAACTCTGCCCTTTAAATGCAATTTAAAATAAAAACGAGCCTACTTTATGCTGCAGCAGATTAAGCCCCGCTTGCCAGCATCTCCTATCAGGGTGCTGGTTGGAGTCCCAGCTGCTGCTCTTCCTATCCCACTTCCTGCTAATGAGCCTGGGAAACAACAGATAATGGCCCAAGTGCTTGGGCCCCTACCACCCACGTAGGAGACCCACAAGAAGCTCTTGGCTCCTGGTTTTGTTCTGACCAGTCCTGGCTGTTGCAGTCATTTGGGAAGTGAACCAGTGGATGGATGGTCTCTCTGCCTTTCAAATTAAATCTATGTATACACACACCTTTAAAACACAGTATGTTGTAAGATACAGCTTAGGTTTTTGATATCTAAGTCACAAAACACAACATCCACCAAAGAATACATACAATTCAGTAGTTTTAATCATAGTTACAAAGTTGTACAGCCGTTACCACTAAATGCAGAAAATTTCATTACCTCAAAAAAGAAATCTTGTAACCATTAACACTTCCTATTCATCCTCCCCCAGCTCCAGAAAACCACTCATGTACTTTCTCTAGATTGCCTATTCTAGACATTTTAAATAAACAGAAATACATATAATATGCAAGCTATGTGAATGGCTTTTCCAGTTAGCATAGAATTTTCAAGCCTCATCGTCATAGCCTATGTCCATATACTTCACTCCTTTTTGTGGCCAAATAATCCACCGTGTGGATATCCATTCAGCTTGTTTATCTGCTCATCAGTTTACGGACCTTTGGGTTGTTTCCAATTTTGGTTATTATCTGTAATGCTAATGTGAACATTCATGTACACACTTTTGGGTGGACACAGGAAAGTTTTCATTTCTCTTGGCTGCATACCGAGGAGTGGAGTGACGTAAGCGCTTGGTAAGCTATCTAGCCAAACTTGTGGACTAGCTGCACCTTCTACATGCTTAAGGCATACCTGAAGGCTCCAGCTTCTTCATCCCTCCCTACAGGGTACTTGGTTTCTTTTCTTTTGGTAAGACAGTTCCATCTGCTAGTTCACTCCCCAAATGCCTACATGTTGGGGCTAGGCCAGGCCAAAACCAGCATCCCATAACTCTCTCTGGCCTCCCATTTAAGTGGCAGGAACTCATCTGCCGCAGTACAGGAACAAAACTGGAATGGAAGCAAAGGAGCTGGGACTCGAACTGGCTCTCCCGTAAGGGGATGCAGGCTTCTGGAGTTGCAGCGTAATTTACCACACCAGTGCCTACCTCCCATGGCCTCTGCCTGTTTATTTGATCATAGTTTTTCCTTGGATATCACAGTCCTTGAGATGGTATTTTTTTTTTTTTTCTGTTGTATTCATTTGAAAGGCAAAATGATGAGATATTTTATCCAGTGGTTCACTCTCCAAATGCCTGCATTAGGTGGCAGGAACCCAGGCACATTAGCAGAGAGCTGAGTTATCTGGTACTAGAGCCAGCACTCCAATGTGAGATGTGGGCAGCTTAACCTGCTGTGCCGCAAGACTAGCCCATCTTAGTAACTGATGAATTTTCTAAACAAAAATTTGCAATGAGAACCAACCCAAATATCCAAGCTTCACAGGTACAGCCTGTAATAAACATAGGCTTACATCCTTCCAGGAATCCAGGAAACAGCACAGGGCTCTGATCCTAGAAACGTCCTTTGTTGAGTGCTTCTTCCCTTAGGTCTGTGTGACCCTGTCCCTGCTTTTCTTTCAGACCCCATGCCACAGCTGGATGTGACAGAGGCCAACAAGGAGTTCATGGAGCAGAGTGAGGAACTGTATGACGCACTAATGGACTGTCACTGGCAGCCTCTGGACACGGTGTCTTCAGAGATCCCCGCCATGATGTAGTCAGGACAAAGGATAAACCTGAATGGACTATGTTCTTTTTTAAAATATTGTGAACCCTTTTTATCTTTTTGGAAATATGATTTCTAAGATTTTAACTACTTTCTTGAGATAATGCTGCAACATAGCCTTCATTTGATGGTAAGCATTTGAGCTAGAAAACCAATAGACAGCCTTAAGGCTCTGATGAGCATTTATCTGGTGAACCATCTGAAACAATTCAGAATTCCTAGGTTTAGAGGTTGAACATGTAGTTCTCTGGGCCCAAGACTGGAGAGCTGCTAAGACAAGGGGCATTCCACTGCCATCCATGTGCCAAGCTCAGTGCCACCTGCTCTGATTTTGATTACCACAGCTTCTGATCGCCAGGTTTCAAACCAGATCTCTGAACTTCAGTATCCCCATCCCCGAGAAAACTTCTGACCACAATCGGTGCTACAAGAATTTTAGGCGGTGACCACTGGCAGCCTTGGATCCATTGCTCAGGGCACAAGAAATCTTTAACAGTCTCAGCCCCAGCAGAGGAAAAAGAGAGATACTCCATCCCCAAACACAGGCCATCTTCTACTGCCCTTAGGCCATAGTAGAGCCAGATCAGAAGAGCAGCATCTAGGACTGGTTCCCACATGGGATACCCAAACCCACAGTGCTGGCCTCTTGATTAAATTCTGATTTCCAAGAATCAACAGGTAAGGTAGGCAGGCAGTTCACAAACATGTATAAAGCTTTTAATGTACCATAGTTTTACCTTAATTCAGCCTGGAGTGCCATATATTATCACCATATGCTTATTATTAATAAACCCCCAACAATAAGCCTGAGGGTTCTTGCCTAATATTTAGAGAATCCTAAATACCAGCATAAATAAATGAGGCAGTGTGGTACATTTTAGGCATTTATTTAGTGCAAAAGATGCATAGGATTTGAGAGAGGGGTTCATACAGAGCACCAGGGAGCCTAGGGTGGGTGGCACAGCCCCCTCCTGGCAAGAGGCTAGGAAACAGGGCAGGACAGACACACCCAAGCTTTTAACCCACTTCCAAAGGTGGTTAATTAACTTGACTGGTGATGGGCACACAGGTGTGGCCAGGTAGGGGCATGAGGTCCCACGGGTATGGCGAAGGCGTGGTCTTCTGGTTCACAAACCTCATCAATTTTAGGCTGCATGCCAGCCTACTTCATCCCTCTGTTGGTTTTCCTGAAACAGAAGTATAGGCCAGTGTTAGCCCTGCTCTGTTTAACCCTAACCAGACACCTTCCCAAGAGCTGGTCTCAGTCCCATATCCGCATTTCTCATCCAAAGATGTCCACTCAGATTAGGATTCATCCTGGACCAGTCAGTCTAAAGAATGTGAACTAGGCTAAATGACTTCTGCCCTCTATTGCCCACTCTTCGCTGAGGGAGACGAGGTCCTACCAAAGCATGCATCCAACCAACATCGTGTATTTGCAATGTATAGGGCCATTCCCCCTGCTTCATTCTACTTAGAGCAGTCCTGATCATGGCCTTCAGGGTGGGCAGATCTAACAGACCTGGCCAAACGACAGGCACTTCTTTGCCCTCAGCTAAGTAAGCACAAGACGCTCTATTTATTAAAGGGCTAAGCCTTTCACATGTACCTGAGTGATGGCTGCAGTTTGGCCACTGCGTGGAGCTATGCAGACTTCGTGTCCCTTCAGTAGTCATCCAGCCCTGCAGATCCTCTGTAGCGTAGACCTAAAGAAAAGAACAAGCCTCCAGTAAATCCCTCCCTCGCCCTGAAGACCACAAGGGAGGAGGAAGTCAGCCCTGTCTGACGCTGGCCCAGTGCTATATCAGACTACAACACGGTGAGGCCAGCTTCAGTATCACTTTTCCTCCTTGTACGACCACCAAGACCAGTGTTCTGATCCGATGGGAAAGGGAACCGGAGGGTTCAGATTGTCTTCATTAAGTTTACCTTAGTCTAAAAAAGGCACTGCTCCAGAAGCCAGCAAGCTGGGCTCTTCAGAAACCCGGTCAGGCTGCAGAACAAAAAGCTGAGTGAGGGCTTCCGACTAGGACGAACCCCCACCCCCAGGCAGGTCCTGAAATTATCGGAAAGTTGAGTGGCAGCTGCAGGTACGGTGCTGACCTGAGCTGTCAAAGTCTCTCCAGGTTGCTCTCGCATGCAGTTGGAGATCCCATGGCCACAGCCAGCCACAGCCCTTGGAAACATGCTGTTCTGTCCCGGCAAGCAGCCCCAAACAAGAAACCTACCAGCCCGAGGATGCCGCCGGGGTCCTCACCGCCCCACGTCTGCCAGCATCACGTGGCACACCTACGATGAGAACACAGCTGTCCACCTGCTCCCTTTTCCTGGCCTGTCCAGTTTTGGTCCTTACCCTGATGCCCTAGTGTTGAGGCAGCGATCCAAAGAATCGCCCCTGGATAGATGTTCCCAGGACAAGCGTCCACTCCCCTGCCGCCCCCCCCCCCCCAGCTCCGCAGCTGTGCTCCGAGGCCTCCCTGACCCCTCCATGCAAGACCCCGCGTCTCTGGCAGCCTGTGGGATGCACTTTAACCCTGCTCTCCGGCTCAACCCGAGGACTGTCTTTTCCTGAAATGTTGCAGATCGGTTACAGCAAACAGAACGGCGACCGTCAGGGAAAACTGTCACTCTGGGCTCCTTTTTGACCACAGCTGCTATGTGGAAGCAGCTGCAGCTTCGATAAGGGCCGCGGTGCAGTCTGGGGCACAGGGCAGCCTCCAACCCAAGCTGCTTTCCAGGTGCCATCTACCTGAGCGTGCACACCCCGAGTGCCTACTGACACCCACCAGAGGCCACCCCTGGGCCCACGGTCATGTCCTGGGTGCCGGCCTCCTGTGCACTCTAGTCTTAAACAAAAGGCTCACACTGATCATTCGCCTAACTATGTAGAAAGCGACAGACCGCAGACTCCTGAAAGGGTTCAAAATGACAAACCCGAATCCCCGAAAGCCCTGTCGTAATGCCGATCAGAGTGACCTCCCTTAAACTCTGGCCAAGCCACCTGCCCAAGGCCACTCAGCAGGCAACCGCCTGCAGACGCCTTTGATGTCACCGTGACAGCACCGCGCGGTCTCCCCTGAATGTGCTAGCGAGCCCGCCCGCATTACTCACTGAGCAGAGCGCAGCCCGGGGCCGCGCCAGCCGAGGCGGGGGAAGGGCGCCGCCCCGGGCCCTCTCACCGCGCACGCGGCCGACAGGGCCTCCGCGACCCGGGCCCCACCAGGTGGGCAAGCACGGATTCTCCAGGCCGCACTCAGCATGCCGCAGCCCTGCACCGCAGCCCCAGAAACTGCGAGCCGTTAGAAGTGAGCTCGGAGAGTACGTGCGCAGAGCGACAGGCCGGAGGACGCGAGCCACGCACGCGACGCCAGGAAAAAGGAAAGGCCCTCGCCGGGCCGGGGCTTATATAGTCCCGCCCCTCACGGCCGCGCCCGACGGCCGCAGTGCGTCGCGCAAGGCCGCTGGGAGTTGTAGTCCAGTGGTGCCTGGCAGCGCCGCGCCAGAGGGGGGCTGCTTGGCCTGGGCTGGCGGACGCGTTAGTCCGCTGTGGAGCGCCGGGCACCTATCTGAAGCGGGCAAGCCCCGGGGTGACTACGAAGCTGGGACAAGGCTGTGTTCAGAGCGCAGCGAGCACGTGGGTAGGCGGCCCCCTGAGGTCTTCTAGAGACCCTGGAGCAGGACCCGGACGCGGTGTCCTCTCCCGCTGACATCTGTGTGACTCTGCTGGGCGCCTGTTGTATACCGTGATCTGGGCATCTCATTGCGTGTGGGTATCATGATTATACCCACGCGGCTTACAGAAGAGAAAACAGGACTGGATCACAGAGCTGGCAGGCAACGTGCAGCCTGGAATACGGAGCCCAACCCCGAGACCGCGCTCCTTCAGCCTCCGCTCCGTGCTGTGTTTCGTCTGATGGAAGGAAACGAGTCTCTGATCCAGCTCCCTGCTAGTGCGCCTGCGACAGCAGAAGATGGCCCACGTCCTCGGGTGCCTGCGCCCGCGTGGGAAACCGGGTGAAGCTCCTGGCTTTGGCCTGGCCCAGCTCTGTTGCAGCCATCTGGGGAGTGAACCAGCGGTGGGAGACCACTGGCTCTCCTCTTTCTGTGTGTCTGCCTTTCAAATAAATAAAGAAATCTATTTTATTTATTTATTTATTTATTTTGACAGGAAGAGTGGACAGTGAGAGAGAGAGAGAGACAGAGAGAAAGGTCTTCCTTTTTGCCGTTGGTTCACCCTCCAATGGCAGCCGCAGCCGGCGCACTGTGCTGATCCAAAGCCAGGAGCCAGGTGCTTCTCCTGGTCTCCCATGGGGTGCAGGGCCCAAGCACTTGGGCCATCCTCCACTGCACTCCCTGGCCACAGCAGAGAGCTGGACAGGAAGTGGAGCGACCGGGACAGAAGCCGGTGCCCTGACTGGGGCTAGAACCCGGTGTGCCGGCGCCGCAGGCGGAGCATTAGCCTATTGAGCCCCGGCGCCAGCTGAAATCTATTTTTTTTTAAGATATATTTTATTTATTTAAAAGGCAGAATTGGGCCGGCGCTGTGGTGTGGTGGGGTTGAGCCTCTGTCTGGGGTGCCGGCATCCCTTATGGCCGCTGGTTCAAGTCCCGGCTGCTCCTCTTCTGATACAGCTCTCTGCTGTGGCCTGGGAAAGCAGTGGAAGATGGAACCTATGTGGGAGACCCAGAAGAAGCTCCTGGCTTCCAGTCAGCCCAGCTCCAGCTGCCGTGGCCATTTGGGGAGTGAACCAGCAGATGGGAGACCTTTCTGTCTCCCCCTCTCTCTGTCTGTAACTCTGGGTCTCAAATAAATAAAATTCTTAAATAAAATAAAAAATAAAAAGCAGAGTGACAGACGGAGACTCAGAGAGAAAAAAATTTTCCATCTACTGGAATATCTTTCCTCTTCCATTTACTCCCCAAATGGCCACAACAGCCAAAGCTGGGCTAGGCCAAAGCGAGGAGTGCCATCCTGGTCTCCCAAGCAGGGAGCTGGATTGGAAGCAGAGCAGCCAGGACTTGTATCAGCGCTCCAATATGGGATTCCAGGGTCACAGGTGGCAACTTAACCCACTGCGCCACAACACCTGCCCCTGAGTCGGTGTTTACCAGTACTGAGCCTTCTCTTCCCTGGGGATGGTATCTCCGTTTTTATAAAGATTCATTATTTGCTTATCTGAAAGGGAGCTACAGAAAGAGCAAGACAGAAAAAAGAGATCTTCCATCCACTGACTCACCCCCTCAAATGGCTACAAGAGCTGGGCCTGGGCCAGGCCGAAGCCAAGAGCCTGGAACTCCATCTGGGTCTCCCATGTGGATGGCAGGGACCAAGCACTTGGGCTGCCTTTTGCTGCTTTTCCCAGGCACATTAGCAGGAAGCCGGATTGGAAGTAGGACAGCCGGGACTTGAACCCATGTGGGGAAATTAGGCACAGGAGGCAATTCAAAGATGGCGCCTGGGGGGAAATCAGGCACACGTGGCAATTCAAAGATGGCACCCAAAGGAAGTAAGGTGGGTGGTATCCAGAGTTGTCTACCACCAAAGCCGATTGCCTGCGCAGCATCAGGGGAGGTGACGACAACTGATGACGGGTGTACAGACATGTGGCTGGTCCTGTAAAAAGTCGCCCTGTAAAATGACCTTTTAAGTAATTGGTTGGTCCTTATGTCCTGCCCCAGTAATCCTGCAGTCTTGTGCTTTAAAAGGCTTTGCTACGCGCGCAATAAACTGAGTTCTTGCTTGTTTGACTTGACTCCCCACTGCGTGTGGCTGTCCCCGGGATGGGGGTGGAGGGGGGGCTGGGGAATGGGCGAGCGGCGCACTTACCTTTCTTCGGACCCAGTCCATCCTCATTCGGGTGGACTAAGACCCTGCAAATCCTCACTCATAGGGAATGTTGCATCATGCCACAATGCTGGCCCTGATGAGATCTCCATTTAAAAATTTTTTTCTCTTCATTTTTTAGCTACTTGAAAGGCAGAGAGAAATAGTCCATCTATTGATTGACTCCCCAAATGGCCGCACAACAGCCAGAGCTGGGCCAAGCAAAGCCAGGAGCCAGGAACACCATCAGATCTCCCATGGGGTGTCAGGAACCCAGATCCTTGGGCCATCATCTACTGCCTTCCCACGTGCAGTAACAGGAAGCTGGATTGAAAGTGGAATAGTCGGGACCCAACCCAGCACTGTGATACGGGACGTGAGCAGTGGCTTAACCCCCTGCGGGACAATGCCAGCCCCATCTCTGTTTACTGAGAACTTTAATTTCTCTCAACAATGTTTTGAATGTTCAGTTTATAACCCTGGCATATCTTTTATCATATTATTTAAAAATTGTATTTTTTATTATTCATTTTATTTGAAAGGGAGACAAAGATCTTCCATCTGCTGGTTCATTCCCCAAATGCCCACAATAGCCAGAGCTGGGCCAGACCAAACCTAGGAGCCTGGAATTCAATATTCAGCTCTCCCATGTGGGTAGCAGGGGCCCAAGAACTTGTGCCATCATCTGCTGCGTCCCAGCGGTGCGTTAGCAGGAAGCTGACAGGAAGCGGAAGCAGGCACTCCAGTGTGGAGGTGGGTGCCCCCAGTGATAACTGCCACACCAACGCCTGACCCTGTTTTCATACTTTTGATGCTATTGTAAATGGTGTTATTTTGTCCATTGAAAATTACAAAAATTCCAAATGGTCATTGCTAGTATATAGATATAAAATTAATTTCATGGGGCTGGCATTGTGGCACAATAGGTTAGGGCCCTGGCCTGAAGTGCCGGCATCCTGTATGGGCACCGGTTCTAGTCCTGGCTGCTCCTCTTCTGATCCAGCTCTCTGTTATGGCCTGGGAAAGCAATAGAAGATGGCCCAAGTCCTTGGGCCCCTGCACCCATGTGGGAGATCCGGAAGAAGCTCCTGGCTCCTGGCTTTGGATCAGCACAGCTCTGGCTGTTGCGGCCATCTGGGGAGTGAACCAGCAGATGTAAGACCTCTACCTCTCTCTGTCTCTACCTCTCTCTGTAACTCTTTCAAATAAATGAAATAAATCTTTTAAAAAAGAATTTCATTGTCTTGATTGTAGTGGTGGTTTCATGGTTGTATACTTAAGTCAAAACACCTTTCGGGGGAGTGGGGAAGTGGGGTTGTGGTGCAACAGGGTAAGCCCCCATCTGCGACACCAGCATCCCATATCAGAGCACTGGTTTGAGTCACGGTTGCTCTATTTCCAGTCCAGTTATTTTTTATGTTTATTTTTTGACAGGCAGAGTGGACAATGAGAGAGAGAGACAGAGAGAAAGGTCTTCCTTTGCTGTTGGTTCACCCTCCAATGGCCGCCGCGGCCGGCGCGCTGTGGCCAGCACACTGCGCTGATCTGATGGCAGGAGCCAGGTGCTTTTCCTGGTCTCCCATGGGGTGCAGGGCCCAAGCACCTGGGCCATCCTCCACTGCACTCCCTGGCCACAGCAGAGGGCTGGCCTGGAAGAGGGGCAACCGGGACAGAATCTGGTGCCCTGACCAGGACTAGAACCCGGTGTGCCGGCGCTGCAAGGTGGAGGATTAACCTAGTGAGCTGCGGCGCCAGCCCAGTCCAGCTCCCTTCTAATGCACCTGGGAAAGCAGTGGAAGATGGCCCAAGTACTTGAGCCCTACACCCATGTGGGAGAGACCTGGATAGAGCTCCTGGCTCCTGGCTTTGGCCTGGCCCAGCCCCAGCCATTGCGGCCATCTGGGGAGTGAACCAGGTGCTGGGCGATCTCTCTCTCTTTCTCTTTCCATCACTCTTTTTTTTTTTTTTTAAGATTTATTTATTTATTTGAGAGGCAGAGTTATAGACAGAGAGAGGGAGAGAGAGAGAGAGAGAGGTCTTCCATCCTGTGGTTCATCCCCCAAATGGCCACGATGGCTAGAGCCAGACCAATCTGAAGCCAGGAACCAGGAGCTGCTTCCGGGTCTCCCACGTGATCATAGGGGCTCAAGGATTGAGCTAGCTTCCACTGCTTTCCCAGGTAATTAGCAGAGAGCTGGATAGGAAAGTGAAGCACCTGCGACACTCATAGGGAATGCTGGCACTGCCTCTCCTTCGCTTTGTAACTCTTTCAAGTAAATAAATCTTTTAAAAAAATATATAAAAGATGGGTAGCGCTTGTTGAAGTAATCACTAAGTCAATCAAGTCGGTGGCACTTGGAGCCACAGCCCAGATCCTCTGATGCGCATGCGCACAGCCGTCCCCACCCTGCTCTACGAGGTGAGCAGCGGGCTTCGCGCACTGAGCAGACAGAGGCAGGGCTCGCGAGAGGAAAGCCACTTGCCTAGGGTCACTCTGTGAATCTGTGGCGGAGGTCAGCTGAGCGCTGGGCCGGGGTGCCAGGTGCAGTCGGGCAGACACATGACCCCAGCCACAGCAGGGCCATGTAGGGCGGGGAGGAAGTTCCCCGAGTCTCCTGCTGACACAGCACGGCCCGCGTGGGCTGACCAAAGGCTTACAGGGCGAGTTCACACTGCAGTTGCAGCCGCTTGTGGCCGTCTGCCTTGGCCCCGGCACCCTGCCTGCATGGCCCTTTCTCTTTGACCCCCCTCCCCGGACCCCACTGCCCCTTAGAGACCGGGCTTCGGGATCAGCTCCTGGAGCCCAGACTCTGGCTCCCTGAGTCTGGCTCCGCTGCCTGCATGAATGAATGAGTGGCACTTACCCACGCTCATTCCTGCACAGGGCCCGCCTTCTGGTGGCCGAGAGCAGCTGCTGAGGGCATCTGTGGAGCCCAGATGGGAAAAAAAAAAAAAAAAACCATGAACAGAGCGAGCCGGGAGAACATTCTGATGGAGGAATCAGTGGGCCAGGGTCTCCTGGGCTGAGCAGAGCTGCCAGGGACCCTCTCCCATCCCAACACCTCCTTCTTTTAAAAAAAAAAAAAAAAAAGGAGAGAGCGTGATCCAGCCAGCCACTGGTTCACTCCCCAACTGGCCACACAGCCAGGGTTGGACCAAGCCAGGGGCCAAGGAATTCCATGCAGGGCCCTCTCAGGGTGGCAGGGACCAAGCTGAGCCGTCATTGCCCGCGGCCTCCAAGGGTGCGGTGGCACTGATACTGCTGAGGGGAGGGAGGTGATAATGGAGCCCACCCAGACACCGCAGCTGCAGCTGCTGGGAGCGGCCAGGATGCAGCCTCCATGGGCCGGTTTCCTCCAAGGCAGGACTGCAAAGGCTGCAGAGGGCCTTGGGAGCAGCTGTGCCTGCCCTGGCCTAGCCCCTAACCCAGGCAGGATGCAGGCAGAGTCCTGGTTCTCGTGGAACCTGCCTGGTGGGTCCCTTGGGTGGCACCAAGGGAGAAGTGAGAGGCCCAGCTCTGCTGTGTGACTTGGGACAAGTCTGCTCAGCTCTAAAGTGGGCAGACGGTGGCCCGATCCAAGGCCTCACTGGTGTCAGCTGTCCTGTCCACAGCACTGTGCTCCCCCTAGAACTGCCACTGTCTTCATGTGCCACACTGGGGCCAAAGTCCCTCCTGGGGCCCCCGTGACCAGCAGGCCAGTCGTGGAGGCTGCTGTGGGAGCCACTGAACCTGGACACTGCACCGGGGCCCCAGGTCAGGGCTAGCGCGGCGCTGGGGAGGGGAAGGAGGATCTGTAAAGCCACCCACTTGGCAGAGTGCTGTCCCCAAATCCCCAGCAGGGCGGGCGCCTGGTGACAGGAATCACTCCGCACTCTGGTAGTGTCTTAAGCCTTGCTCCTTGGTTAATGCTCCCCCTTAGTCGCCCTTAGCTTAGTCCCTTTAACCCGTGAAAGAGGGTTTGTTAGCACTGCCATTTCACGGAGGAGAAAACTGAGGCGGGGTCTTGCCCAGGTTGTGCCCCGCTTCCCCCACCCCGGCCCCCAGCACCCTCGGGATCCGGTTCCCTTATCCCTACCCCAGTGCAACCCAGCCGCCCGGTGACCCGAGCTTAGTGCGGGAGCGGGGCGGAGCCGGCCTTCGGGGCCAGCGCGTGCCGGGGGGCGGGGCGGGGCCGGACAAGTAGCCCCGGGCGCGGCGGGCGCCCCAGTCGCGGGCATGGAGGCCGAGGGCTGCCGCTATCAGTTTCGGATCGCGCTGCTGGGGGACGCGGCGGTGGGCAAGACCTCGCTGCTGCGGTGCTACGTAGCGGGCGCGCCGGGTGCCCCGGAGCCCGAGGCCGAGCCCGAGCCCACGGTGGGCGTCGACTTCTACCGCCGCGCGCTGCAGCTGCGGGCCGGGCCGCGCGTGAAGCTGCAGCTCTGGGACACTGCGGGCCATGAGCGCTTCAGGTGCGGGCCTGCGGGGAGCGCGGGAGGGGCCGCTGGTCGAGGAGGCGTGCCTTGGGGGTCCCAGAGAGGTCTGGGGGGCTGGGATCCCTGGCTCCAGCCAGACCCTCCCTCCCTCGGGGTCATGCTTTCTGCAAATAGGAGGGGACTTCAGGTAGTTCATGGAGAGAGAGGGAAGCTTATTTTGGTACCAAAAGATTTCAAATCCATGCATATAAGGCATCTTCAAAAAGTTCAGGGAAAAATCTGGAATATGAAAAAACTATGCACGGATCTCGAGTGTTTTTGCTGCGAGTTCAGCTTGTATTCTAACTGCGTTCCTGCACAGACCAGGTTGACATCCAAGCCCAGAGCCCCGGAGGGGCATTCAGACCTGGGTGCACCGCACTCTGGAGGGTGGATGGATGGCCTCAGAGGCGGGAGATGCCAGGGTAGGAGAGGTTTGTGCCAGCTGCAAAGGATGGGCAGCGGTGTGCCAGCCCCAGCAGAGAATCGGAGCTGCCCTCAGAGCTCTCAGGCCTCGCCAGGAGAGCAGGAATCGGAGCTGCCTCCTAACCAGGGGGCACCCCGTGTCTTGAGGGAGACTCAGACCCCAAGGCAGAGAAGCGCAGGGCAGTGTGACTGAGCTGTGAGACGGGTGTGAGGCTCCGTGGACCCCAGGAGGGGTCTGCCTCTGGGGGTGTCCTGACGGCATAAACACCTCCCACCTTACCCCTGGCTCCTCCCCAGGTGCATCACCAGGTCCTTTTACCGGAACGTGGTGGGTGTCCTGCTGGTCTTTGATGTGACGAACAGGAAGTCCTTCGAACACATCCGAGACTGGCACCAGGATGTCATGGCCACTCAGGGCCCCGACAAGGCTATCTTCCTGCTGATTGGCCACAAGAGTGACCTGCAGAGCGCCCGCTGTGTCTCCACCCAGGAGGCCCAGGAGCTGGCTGCCTCCCTGGGCGTGGCCTTCATGGAGACCTCAGCCAGGAACTGCTGCAACGTGGAGCTGGCCTTTGACACCCTCGCGGACGCCATCCAGCAGGCCCTGCAGCAAGGGGACATCAAGCTACAGGAGGACTGGGGGGGTGTCCGGCTCATCCACAAGGCCCAGAGTCCCAGGTCCCCCAGCAGGAAGCACCACCCAGGCCCATGCCAGTGCTGACGCTGGGAGAGAAAAGGTTTAAGCAGCGCCAACCTCAGCCCGGTGGGATGGGGATGGCTGGACTCTCTGGAGGGTGAGACAGAAGGGTTTGCGCAAACAGCATCCTGACAGTAGTGCCTCTTGCACTTTGGGGTCTCAGCTCAGTTCCTTCCTGTGGACAGGTTTAAAAAGGCCAGAAACTCAACTTCCTGTTTTGAGTCTCAGTTTCCTCATCTGTCAATAGGGCTCATTAAAAATCCCCTTCATGGGGCCGGCGCCGCGGCTCACTAGGCTAATCCTCCGCCTTGCGGCGCCGGCACACCGGGTTCTAGTCCCGGTCGGGGCGCCGGATTCTGTCCCCGTTGCCCCTCTTCCAGGCCAGCCCTCTGCTGTGGCCAGGGAGTGCAGTGGAGGATGGCCCAAGTCCTTGGGCCCTGCACCCCATGGGAGACCAGGAGAAGTACCTGGCTCCTGCCATCGGATCAGCGTGGTGCGCCGGCCGCAGCGCGCCGGCCGCGGCGGCCATTGGAGGGTGAACCAACGGCAAAAGGAAGACCTTTCTCTCTGTCTCTCTCTCTCTCACTGTCCACTCTGCCTGTCAAAAAAATAAAAATAAAAATAAAAAAATCCCCTTCATGGGAGGCGTGGTCATGCACGAGCTAAGGGCCGGGACCCGCCCTCCCAGAGCCTGCCGCGCGGCCCACTCACTGGTGGTGAAAGCCATCATCCCCACTTGACTGCCATGCGGCCGCTGCTGGCAGCTCCTGCGCTCAGCGTCGGGACGCTGCCACGCTGGCGAGGCCAGCTGGGGAATTCCAGCTTCAGGCCTCCTTAGGTGCTCAGGCTATGATGAGTCAGGCATGGACTTAAGGTGTGGCCTCGAATCTGGCTGCTACCCAGTGTCCCCCTCCCATCCCCCCCGGGCCCGGGGCTGAGTCTGGCTAAAGGATCCCTGCATTGCCCCTGTCCTCACTGTCCCCGCAAGCTGCTGGGAGAACTGTGCGGACTGGGCCAGCTTGCAGCGCTCTCGGGGACTGCCCACCCCCAGGGACAACCCATACACACGTTGTCATCTTGACAGCTCTTAAGGTCCAGCCCAGCTCCATCCTCTGTGGGCTGTTCTCCCTCGCCCAAATCCTGCCTTCTTCCTTTCGCAATCAGGTTTTACTCTCAACACCCCAGCACAGGGCAGAAGCTGTGGCTGCTGCTTGGGATCCCAGCGTCCGGTACTCACTCCAGCTTCCTGTCAACGCATCCTGGGGGCAGCACCTGATGGCTCAATGCTTGGGTCCCTGCCACCCATGTGGAAGACCTGGATGGAGCACCTGACTGCCGGCTTCAGCCTGGCCCAGACCTGGCTGTTGCAGGTATCTGGGGAGTGAACAGGCAGATGGAAGACCTCTCTGTCCTTATCTATGACTCTGCCTTTCAAGTAGTTGAAAATAAACAAACATTTCAAAAAATGCCCTGGCATAAATCCCTGCACAGTAACCTCCATGGCATAATTTGCTCCAGGCACCCTAATTTGCAAGGGGAACTGCTGGGCAGGGAATGTCCTGGGGGCAATTTGGGAAGGCTTCACGTAGGAGGTGGTGTTTTGTTGGGCAGGATCTCAGTAGCTGTGGAGGTGCCAGCGGGCATGGGTATGGGCAACTACCAGAGCAAAAAGAAGACAATCACTGAACTCTGTAGCCGTGGGCCAGTTCCTCCCCCACCTGCGCCTCAGTTTCCCCTTCTGTAACATGTGACTGACAGCCCTCTTCCCTAGAGTTCTTGAGGAAGATTTAATCAGCTTTCTCCCAGGAAGAACAGGTTAGGGTAGGGCTTCCGCCCTGTGCACTTGACCCTGCCTTCTCTTTTTATTTATTGTTTCAAAGATTTGCTTGGGGGCCGGCGCCATGGTTCACTTGGCTAATCCTCTGCCTGCAGCACCAGCACCCCGGGTTCTGGTTACTCCTCTTCCAGTCCAGCTCTCTGCTGTGGCCCAGGAGGGCAGTGGAGGATGGTCCAGGTACTTGGGCCCTGCACCCGTATGGGAGACTGGGAGGAAGTACTCGGCTCCTGGCTTCGGATCGGCAAAGCGCCAGCCGTAGCGGCCATTAGGGGAGTGAACCAACAGAAGGAAGACTTTTTCTCTCTCACTGTCTATAATTCTCTCTCTCTCTGTCTCTCTCTCTCACTGTCTAACTCTGCCTGGCAAAAAAAAAAAAAAAAAGATTTGCTTGGGGCCAGTGCTGTGGTGTAGCGGGTGGAGCTGCTGCCTGCAGTGCCGGCATCCCATGTGGGCGTCAGTTTGAGTCCTAGCTGCTCCACTTTGGATCCAGCTCTCTGCTGTGGCCTGGGAAAGCTGTGGAAGATGGCCCAAGACCTGGGGCTCCTGCACCCATGTGGGAGACCTGGAAGAAGCTCCTGGCTCCAAGCTTCGGATCAGCACAGCTCCGGCTGTTGCTGCCAATTGAAGACCTCTCTCTCTGACTTTCAAAATAAATACATCTTTAAAAATTTTTTGAAAGCAGAATTACAGAGAGAGAGAGAGAGAGAGAGAGAGAGAGAGAATTTTCCATCCACTGGTTCAGTCCCCAAATGGCTACAATGACCGGGGCTGGGCCAAGCCAAAGCCAGGAGCCTCGATCTTCTCCTGGGTCTCCCATGTGGGCGCAGGTCATCCTCTGCAGCTTTCCCAGGTGCCTGAGCAGGGAGCTGGACCAGAAGTGGAGCAGCGGCCATGACTTAACCTGCTGCGCCATAGTGTCAGCTCTGTGGAACTCATCTTTATGACAGCTTCACTCGGCTTCACTTATCCTCACTTCCCAGATGGGGACAACAGAGGGTGGTTATTTGCTTTGGGGTATATTTTCATTCTGTCACCAAATTTCTAAACTATTTTTTTCTTCATTTTATTTGAAAGGCAGAAAGAGATTTTTCCATCCACTGGTTTCTCCCCAAATGTTCTCTATAGCTGGGGCTGGGCCAGGCCAAAACGGGGAGCCAAGAGCTGGGAACTCAATCTGGGTCTCCTATGTGGGGGGCAGAGACCCAAGCACTTGCAGCCACCACCCGCTGCCATCCCCCAGGGTGCAATTAGCAGGTAGCTGGGTCAGAAGCCGAGCAGGGCCTTGAACTCAGGCCCCCAAGCAGCACCGTAACCACTGGACCCCCGTCAGAGCTTTTAAAGTGAGCATCCACTCTATCCTAGTTTCTGAGGCTACGGCAGGGAACATGACAGAAAAGCCCTGCTGGGCTGACGTTCCAGTGGAAAAGAGAAGAAAGCCAAGTAAATGAAGGGCTGGCCTTCCAGCTTGCTGGGTGCTGTGGGGCTCAGTGTTGGGAGGCCTCCCTGAGAAGATGGACTTTGAGACCCGAATAAGGGGGAGGCGGAGCCCAGCTCAGCGCCGAGATCCGGGCAGAAGGAAGAATAAGAGTAGTTTTGCCTTCACAATAACTTTAGGTGCTGTGATTCCATTTGCCCCAGGAGGAAACAGACGTCCAGAGAGGTTGGGTGACTTGCCTAAAATCTCATAGCCAGTAAGGTGGGGAGGGGAGAGTTCCCAAGAGTGACAGCCTCCAGCCAGGGAGGGACTGGGTGGTTTCTAGGGAGGACAGGACATCTGTGTGGCTGAAATGAAGGAACAGGAGTGCCCTCAGCGTGGCCTCCGCACTTCCCCGCACAGGAGTACAGGCCTGACCCCGCCTGCATGGAGACCCGCAGCTGGTCCTGGAACAGATGAAAGCTAAGCTGTCCCCAACTCAGCAAGTCCCCAGTCCCCAGAGTGAGGGAGATGCAGAAAGAAATGAACTCTGCCCCTCTCAAAATCCTGGGTTGGAGAAAAAGGCCCCAAGGCCCTGGCCCACCCAGGCAGGGCCAAGTTCAAGAGACAGTGCCATTGTCCCTGGCTGCCTCCCTGGGGCTTAGCAGGCTGGACTTTCCCAAATGTGAACTGGGGATAATAAAATCTTTTTGTCCCGCGGGCTTGTGGGACATGAAAGGAGGCATTGTGTGACTGTCTCCACACACATGGCTCACACGCTGGGCTGTCTGTCGCCTCCAACAACTGGGGAGTAACCTCAAACCTCAAGCGACTCTGTGAGGTTGGTCTGACCTTGACCATTCACAGGCAGACTTCAAGACCAGGGCAGGGAAACTGATGTGCTTGAATCTGGGCGCCCATCTCGGCATTCCACTACCTTGGGCCAGCCTAGGGTGGGAGTGGGGGCTCCTACCTCATGCCTTGAGGCCCTGGTGCCACCTTCACAAGCCCCCTCAGTGCAGAAAAACCTGAGGAGATTCTAGGTGGCTTTGGAGGGTGCTTGCCTGGCGCAGCAGCAGGAGGCAGCCCTGCCCAGGCCCGGACTGGAGGACTGGCAGCGGAGGCTTCCCAGTGGAGACTGAGGAGAAGGCAGGGAGGGGCAGGCCCACCTGGGAACCAGACCCCTCCCTGGTCTCCAGTGTGTGGGCTGTGCCGCCCCTCCCAGGGGGGTCTTGCGGAATAAATCTGGCCCGGCTGCTGCGGCTGCTCAGCTGCCCCAGTCTTTCCTTGTTCCGCACCACTTGCGGGATAAACATCCAAATCCTTTCTTCCCAGCCCCAGCCCCTCCTGGTTTCACCCCGCTGCGGCAGCATCTCCCATCCGCTTCGCCCAGCCACATCCCGGGCCACCTGCAGCTCCGGGCCTTGCACACGCTAGTTCTGTGCACGTTTCCCTGCGTGGCCCTAGCCCTCTCCCCTCCCTCTGCGTGGCCCTAGCCCTCTCCTCTCCCTCTGCGTGGCCCTAGCCTTCTCCCCTCCCTGTGTTACCACATCTGCCTGCAACACTCAGACAAACGCCACCTCCTTTTAACACCACATGACCCCAGACCTTGCCGTCAGATCTGGACTTGACTCCCAGCTCTGCTTTACACTGACTGGGACCCTGAGCAACTCACTACAGCCTCACCTGTAAACTGCTGCAACCAGCATCTAACTCGGGACTTTTGGGAAGGACCTGAGAAATCGGCGGCAGTCCTTGTCTCACAGTGGTTCACCAAGAGGGCTTCCCCCTCTGCTCCCTCACAGTTTCCCTTGGTAATCACAGTGGAGGAACAAAGCCTACCAGGGAGGTAACAAGGATTCCAGACTCTAGCCTAGCTGTTAAAGTTCCTGACTCCCTGGTGATGTGGATCCGGCTCTGTTTTCTAACTAAAGTTCCAGAATCTTCCTGTAGGTCTAACCCCTAGTCTATTCTATGCAGCCTAACTCCTCCAAGGTGGGACCCTGGCCAAACCCACCGGCATCGCGGTTGCAGCAGTCAGGCTCCCGGGCCTGCAGACCCCTCTGTGAGCCGCTTCCTCAGCCTGGACCACCGCTTCCTCCCTTCTCTTGTTTGGCCTGAAAACCCAGCAATCCAGACTGAAAGTATCCCCCTGCTCCTGGGAGGGAACAGAGCCAAGGTCAGCCCCAGGGGAGCCACTGTAACTTGGTGGGTGGAGACAGTGGAAGCACTGCATCTACCACACACAGGCTGGCTCTGACGGTGACCTGGTGGGAAGCCAGCTTCTCATCTCAGCCCCGCAGAGCCTCAGTCTCTTCCTGACAAGACGAGAAGTTTCTACCTCACTTTGCTGTTAGAGGCGAATGTGGTCATGTGGCCAAGTGCTCAGTGCATGCCAAGTTCCTTCTGCTAACAAGCCCGACGCCTGCACGGGCTGCGCCCTTGCCTGGGGTGTACACCCTTCCACGTTCAGCTCAAATGCTCGCTTACCTACCCGAGCGCCCCAGTTCCTCCCCAGGCCCTGCACAGCTCTCTGTGGAAATTCAGGCAGTGTCTATAAGTTAGTTATGGTGCCCCACTACACTGTACCTCAAGGCCACAGCTGTGTGACTTTCCTGAAGGGGCTAGGCTGTCTTGGGCAGAGGACTCCTGGGCTTTTAAAAACTGTTACTGTGAAGAGGGGGGAGCTGGTGTTGTGGCACAGCAGGCAAAAGAGCCACCTGCCATGCAGGCATCCCACATGGGCACTGGTTGCTAACCCGGCTGCTCCACTTCCGATCTAGCTCGCTGGTAATATGCCTGGGAAAGCAATGGAAGATGGCCCAAGTGTTGGGGCCCCTGCACCCACATGGGAGACCCCGATGAAGCTTCTGGCTCCTGGCTTCTGCCTGGCCCAGCCCTGGCTGTTGCAGTCATCTGGGCAGTGAGCCAGTGGACGGAATATCTGTCTCTCCTCTCTCTATAATTCTATTATGGGGCAGGCATTTGTCACAGTGGCTAAGACCATGCTTGGGATGCCCGCATTCCATTTGGAGTACCTAGCTTGCGTCCTTCTGATCAAGCTTCCTGCTAATGCACACACTGGGAGGCAGCAGTAATGGCTCAAGTACTTGGGTGCCTGCCACCCATGGGAGTTACCGGCTCCCAGCTTTGGCCTGGCCCAGTTACAGCTGTTGCAGCATTCGGAGAGTGAATCAGCAGATGGAAATCTCTCACTCTTGTTTCTTTCAAATAAAATAAGACATGAATTAGAAAAAACAAAAACAAAAACCTGTCGGGTCAGGCATTGTGGTGCTGGTTAAGATGCTGCCCGGGGGGGCTGGTGCTGTGCTGCTGCAGTGCCGGCATCCCATATGGATGCTGGTTCAAGTCCTGGCTGCTCCACTTCCGATCCAGCTCTCTGCTATGGCCTGGGAAAGCAGCAGCAGATGGCCCAAGTCCTTGGGCCCCTGCACCTGTGTGATAGAACTGGAGGAAGCTCCTGGCTCCTGATATTGCCTGAGCTTACAGATGATCTTTAGATTTTTTCTTTTCAAGTTGCAGTTTAATCAATTGATGTGAAAGACAGAGAA